CTCGAAACACCAATACTTTAAATTTAAAATAGGGTTAATACCTTACTATGGCCTGAACTATGATCATGTAATCAACTTTGGCCCGTGGTTTGTGAAATTAACATCCTGGCCCGAACTATGCAGCATAGAGACAGAATTGGCCTTGAGCGTGGTTTGACCGTTTGTTTAGACGGTCAACACCGTTGACCGTTAGTCAACTGTCCAGGTCACTGCCATGTCACCAAAAAAATTATTTCTTCATTTTTCTTTTTATTTCTTTACAAAATCGAATAATAAAGAAAAAAAAAACAGAAAACCCAGGCCACCCATCCCCACCTTATCCCCTCAGTTCTTTCATTTTCGATCAAACCCAAATCCCTAACCATTCGCCTTCTTCCTCCTTCTTCCCCGACGAGCCGCCGCCTCCATTCTCTCCGTTTCAAATGCAGCGGCGGCCGGTCGTTTAAAGACGACGCCGTCGCCGTCACACATTTTCATCAGAACCCAGATAACCCATCCTCGCCTTCTTTCATTTTCGATCAAAACCCTAACCATTCGCCTTCTTCCTCCTTCTTCCCCGACAACCCGCCGCCTCCATTCTCTCCGTTTCAAATGCAGCGGCGGCCATAAATCCTACCCAGAACCCTCACCTGTTCCTCGCGCGCCATCCCTTCCCCACCCTCGAACCCCACTGTTCTCTCCCTTCCCCACCCTCGAACCCCACTTTTCTCTCGTCAACAACAAAATAATCCACCATCGAGTTCTGTCTAGACCAAGACCAAGCCTTCCCCAGCCTTCCCCACCCATTACGCTCTGTCCATTTCTTTGTAGGCCAACCCTTCCCCACCCATCGCTATTTTCTACCAAAGGCGAAGAAAGTGAGGTTCCAGGGACAACTCTAGCAAGGGACCACTTCGAGGACCACTTCGACAAAATCTTGTTATTCAGCTAAGGTAAGCAATCACTATCCCTCGTTCCTATATTCTGAATACGTCCAAGAAATTCGTTTTGGTCATATGTGGATTGATGCATAGTGGACATTAAACAATAATAGTTGATTTGTCTTTGTCGGCTTAGTGAATTTAGCGATTTGTCTTTGTCGGCTTAGTGAAGTTTGCTTAGAAAAGTGTGTTTTCGATTTGTTTATGTGCAGAATGGAAGACCCGATTGATCTCATTTTATGCCATGGAGGATTTATGGATATGACAGGGGCTGTTCCAAAGTACGTTGGAGGTGATGAAGCTGTGGTGAACATGGTTGTCGATGTATTGTCCTATTTCGAGTTAACAAAGACTCTAATTGAAGATTTAGAGTATGTCTCCGTGGAAAGGCTTTGGTACTTGACTCCGGGTAAAAGTATGGCCACTGGATTGCACGAAATTCATTCAGACGCGGAGGTTATGAATGGATTACTCCCATGTGTAGGTAAAGGACAGGTGAGGGTCTACTTTGAAGCCACTAAAGACTTTGGTGATGATGGATTTATGGGTGACAACTACGGCCATGAGCATGATGGTTCAGACGAGGATGGTGAAAACTCGGATGTACCTGAATTTGTGCGAGTAGAGGAAGAGGATGATGCCCAAACATCTGATGAAGAGTATCATGAAATCAGGCAGAAGGTTCGAAACAGGAGGCAGAATTATAGAGCTCAGATTCAAGAGTCGGGTGAGGAGGTGGATCAAGTGGTATTGGAGGAGGATGAAGAGCAGAATGTGGGTAGTGAGAATCCGGGGCAGAATGTGAGTGGAAGTGGGGGAGGCAATCAACCATCTGAAGCTGGTGAAGATGATGCAACTAGTAAGGGATCAATGGAAACTGAGTATAGGGGATCAGAGGAGTCTGCTCATGTTAGAGGCAACATTGGTGAACAAGATAATGTCGCCAAGTTCGACAAAACCTTGCTTTATGATCCAAAGTGCGATCATAAAGCATTGAAGTTCGTCACTTGTATGCGCTTTAAATCCCCTGAGCAGTTTAAGGCAGCTGTAATGAGGCAATCAATTGAGATTGATGCTGATATTAGATGGGTAAGGAGCAGTGACTTTAGGAAGGAGGCTGTGTGTGCGCAAAGGAAAGAATATAGTTGTAAGTGGAGGGTATATGCAAGTTGGTTTCGCAAGCACGAAGCATTTATGGTTAAAGGAGTTGGACCAGCTCACATTTGCCCTCGTTCACTTCACATTCGGGCAGCAGGTCAGAGGTGGATAGCAGAAGAATTTCTTGAGACATTTAGGGCAAATCAGGGTTGGGATGTAGGCCTAATAGCTGCTGAAATTAAGCGGAAGTACAATTTGGTTGTGTCAAACCAAACTTGCTACCGAGCTAGGCTAGAAGCGCGTCGCATGCTATATGGATCATTGGAAGAAGATTTTAATCAAATTAGATCATATATAGGACATCTTTTGAAAGTTGATCCGCAAGGTTCGTTCCTTCTCGAGGTGGATGTAGATCCGGGTTGTGACAAGGTGTTCTTCAAGAGGCTCTATATTGGCTTCTCCAGTTTGAGCAAAGGATTCCTGGCAGGATGTAGACCCTTCTTCTGCCTCGATGGTTGTTTCTTAAAGGGGGAGGTTCAAGGAATGCTTCTATCTGCAGTTGGTAAGGATGGGAACAACCACATGTTCCCAATTGCGTGGGCAATAGTGGAGTTAGAGAACAAATCCTCTTGGATTTGGTTCATAAGCGCATTGCAAGACCAACTTGGGACAGCGGACGGATGTGGGTATACTATTGTCTCAGACCAACAGAAGGTAACTACTTTATTGATTATGATTACTACCATACCTAAATTTAAATCACATGGTTTACTAACTTTTTCAATTGAACACAGGGGCTTGTGGAGGCTTTACATACCTGCTTGCCAAATGCAGAACACCGGAAATGTGCTCGGCATGTTCATGCTCACTTCCGGGAGAAGCACATGACGGCAGCAACTACTGATTTGTTTTGGGAAGCTGTCTACTCTCTCAATAACGCTTATTGGACGGATGCCATGGTTCGAATGAAAGGCCTTGGTGGGACTGAGTATGCTGATTTTATGGCTCGGGTAATCTTTCTTTGCTTATTATGTTTGATGGCTTGTATTCAACTGTTTGCATAATCTAATATGCAATTCACTATAAAGGAATCAGAGCACTTTTGTCGTGTATTCATGAAGACATTCTCCAAGAGTGACTCTGTGGAGAGCAACATATGTGAGTCATTCAATAACTGGATATTGCGATTCAGGTCTCTCAGACCGATTGCAATGTTGGAGGGAATTCGAGTTTCTGTTATGACTCGACTAGTGAAGAACCGAAGGAAGATGTTGCGATGGAAGGACACTTTCCCACCGGTGGTCAGAGGGAAACTGGAGAAGTCAAAGCATGAATCGAGGATGTGTACTAGTCATCCTTCATCTGAGACGATGCATGAGGTTGCTGCCGAGAACAAGGCCTTCGTGGTTGACTTGAAGAACCGGACTTGTACGTGCGGTTGGTGGGCACTAAATGGTATTCCTTGTAGTCATGCTTTTTCATCCATCAGAAGCATGCGAGGACAACCGGATCTTTATGTTGATGCTTTCTTCAAGATGGAGTTTGTGAAAATGGCATACAAGTTTCCCATTCCAGCATCGGAAGGCCGACAAGCATGGATGCCGGTGTTTGGGAACAAGGTATACCCTCCTCGGATTAGGCGCATGCCTAGTCGTCCAAAGACTAAACGTCGAAGGGAGGCTTGGGAGGTCCGAAGCAAGCAAGCTAAAAATGGAATTGGGGAGGTTGCTAGTAGGGAGAACCTCTCGGTTCATTGTGGGAATTGTGGTGGAGAAGGCCACAATTCGAGGACATGTAAGAATGAGCCTGCTGCCCCGAAGACTGCAGCTCCTAAGAAGAAGAAGCAAGCACGCCCGACTCCGGCAGCACCTGTTCCTCAATCAAATCAAGACGCTGGAAGGGAGAATCAGGTAACTCGAAGAGGATCCATCACATGGTTTGTTAGTGTAACATTTTATTCAACTGTTTATTAATGTAACATTTTACAGCAGCCACGAGAAAAGAAGAAGGGTCGTTGCAGCAAGTGTAGATCAGAGCACCATAATGCAAGACGCTGTCCACTACTTGTAGGGATTCAGGTAACCATCTTTTAACTATGAATGAATGAATGAATGAGTGAGTGAATGAATGAATGAATGAATGAATGATAGAATGAAATCACTGAATGTGTATGAACGTGTAGGCCCCCCATGTTGGTTCGTGTAGTAAAAGGGTAACTGATCGTGAAATGAGAAGGGCGATGCAAGGTATTGGAACCTACATTGACATGGACACTGGAAACATGTATGCAAGGGTATGTAACAGAGTTTTCTAGATTAATGACAGAGTATTGTTTTTTGTGAACTCTATTCCTAACTTGAAGATCCTACTATTTTGCAGCTTAGCCACAGAGTGCCACCATCTGGTGGTGTACGAGCAACAGAACCGGACCTGCCTCCTGTCAATACCACACAGCCTCCCACTACTCAATCAGACTCGCCTTAGGAAGTCAGAAGATGCTATGTTAGGAAGTAGATAAGACTCCTGTTTTGTGCGTGATATGTGCATGTTACGGATCACTGTGATTCGTTGGAGTGTAGGATTGTAAAGTAGGTCCAAAGTTAGGATTCCCCCTTTTGTAAATGGTATGGAAATGAACCTTAAACTAAGGCATACCTTGTCCTAAACTAAGGTTGTGCCCCTTTTGTAAATGGTCTGGAAATGAACCTTGTCCTAAACTTAGGTATTGCCCCTTTTGTAAATGTTCCGGACGTGTTGGAATGATCAAACAGATTATGTTTATGAATGAATGAAGTTGTATATGTTTGTCCCAGTTATGCTTCAATGAAAGAACAAGCTTACAATTGGAAGGAAATAAGGTAGCAGTTCTTTGATTTCATAGGAAATTACACAAATTAGACAACAAGCTTACAATTGGACAATCACCAAAACAATAAGAAACATAACTACAACGATTATACAGGCTGTTAGCCGATTTTGTAGCGCACAAATCGCATTTCGCATACTTTGCAATTCACCAAAACTAGCTGAATTGATCTCGGTCACCTTCGTCAAGTCTTCAAGCATAGCCAACTTCTCCTGTTTCCTTTTCTTTGCCTTCTCTTCTGCCCTACGAAGTTGTCCTTCAAATGCCTCCAATGTCGACTTTAGCCGCTCATTCTCTTCCATAAGTCCACCAAGCATAAAGTCACTCTCTGTGACTGCATCAACCCAGCGAAAAAACCGACAGTTCTTCTCTTCATCCTTCCAAAACGTGCAAGAATAAAACAATCTTCCAGGATTGTCATCTGTTCGAGAAGTGTTGACAACGCAGGGGGCTCGGTGGAAGTTGCATCTTATGGGCTTCGTGCTTGACGAACCAGAAGAGGATGAAGCTTTGGTGGCAATTTTCCCAACTCGCCTGGACATTATTGCACAGAGGTGAAGAGAGCTCGAGATGGGTCGGGTAGAAAAGGAAGAAGAGATCGCGAAAGGGGTCTCGAGCCGTTTTTCGATAGAAAGGAAGAAGGGAGCTCGATTTCGTTTAGGGTATGGAGGCGGTGGGTCGTCGGGGAAGAAGGGAGCTGTTTCGGATATGGAGGCGGCGGGGCGGGTCGTCGGGGAAGAAGGGATTTGTTTTCGTTCGGGCTATGGAGGCGGCGGCTCGTCGGGGAAGAAGGAGGAAGAAGATGGAAGATAGGGTTTTGGGTTTGACCGAAAATGAAAGAAGGTTAGGGGATAAGGTGGGGATGGGTGGCCTGGGTTTTCTGTTTTTTTTTTCTTTATTATTCGATTTTGTAAAGGAAATAAAAAGAAAAATGAAGAAATAATTTTTTTTGGTGACATGGCAGTGACCTGGACAGTTGACTAACGGTCAACGGTGTTGACCGTCCAAACAAACGGTCAAACCACGCTCAAGGCCAATTCTGTCTCTATGCTGCATAGTTCGGGCCAGGATGTTAATTTCACAAACCACGGGCCAAAGTTGATTACATGGTCATAGTTCAGGCCATAGTAAGGTATTAACCCTTTAAAATATAGTAAAATGACTCTTGTAATAAAATATAAAAAGTAACTCACAATTAAAATAAAAAACAGGGGATGAAAAGTAACTCACAATAAGAAAAAACAGGGACCAAATTGCACTAATGAGATTATATTAGGTTAACTCACAATAAAAAAATCAGGACCCAAATTTCACTGATGAGATTATATTAGGTTAATATTCTTACTTCAACAGTACAGCTGATTTAGCTTTATATTAATTAATGTGAAGTTTCCAATCATCTCCAAAACTGAAGTTTTGGTGATTCCATCAAAATCTGAATCATAGGAAAAAAGAATTGACATATTGTTATTGTTTTTTATAATATAAGAGCTGATTTAATTTGACCAAGTGGCTGTGTGTTCATATCTTCAGGACTACTAATGTTAAATATTGATTTAATAAGCACGAGGTATGGTGAACATGTGAAAAATTGAAGCCCTGAAGTTGAATTTGATTTAAGGGGCATGTAATGCAAGAGTGGTATAGAATTCACAATTAACTTTCTCTCAACAATTCAAGTTGAATTTGAACAAATACTTCATGACTTCCGATCCAAGAAGAACTAGTTGAACATAGAAAATTTAAATGTCGCTTCTATAAATTTTTTACAGATGAACTCAAGATAAGTACACAGTTTTGTGGATGCATGACCACCCAAAAATCGTTATTATTCTTTTTTTATAAGGTGAATGTTTACATCAAAGTTTAGGTCTAATCCTTGAGATATCAAAGCTTAGGCCTAATCATTGAGATTGTGTGGATATCACTGTTTTCTTCTTTTTAAGGAAATATTGTTTACGGGCATCCTAAGAATTTATCTGTCGTCCCCTTGGGTGGAGTCTGAAATATGCGGTGTGGTGTGGCCGGCCGTGCATGGGATGATTGGTGTCTTCACTTGTTTGCTCCACCTTCCGCACCACATCAATAATTTTGATTTGTGGAATTGAGAGGCAATAATTGCACTACCACTGCCACTGGAAGACGACGAGGAATTGGAAACTCTGAAATGGCTACCTTAGATGCTTTCTAGTGAACAAAACTTGGCAAGAAACCGAAGGATATCCAATTATCCATGAAGTATTGAGGTGTGGAAAAAGAAGCCCACCTGAGTCATCACTCCGGTTAATTCGACTTGCAAACCGATCACAACTTGAATGGACTAACAGTTATTCACCCGAAATTCGATTGGCCTGAACTCGACTAACTTGTGATCGGCCAGGTCCACTTAAATAATAACTATGTTATATAATATATAGTCATTCAAAATGAAGTTTATTTTTTGTTCTAAACCCAAGTAAAATCATTTTTTGTTATTGTAAAGAAAGGTTCAAAATACGAAATTGACTTGATATTATGTATTTTTAATAAAATTACCGAAAAACAAGAAGTTCACTTGAACGTTAAGTTCTTTAACAAAATTACAAGAAAATAAATAGGAAATATAAAATCAACATAGTGCCAATGTTGATAATGAATAATCAACAATTGAAAAAGGGCAAAGGATCCGGATTTTTGAAGTTCTAAATAGAGAGTGACGAAGGACAACCCTTGGGCAAGGGTTGGAGTGACCTGAAGACCTCGGAGCTCGATTCCTCATTCTCGGAGTACCGATTAGCCGCCAGGAGCAGATTTTCATTGTCCACATGATGATTTCTCCTCCTAGCATGATGTTTCCACTTCTCTCCATGGAGTAAACACCCCTTTCATCTGGGTACGAAGAACCCTAGTTTTGTATGCTAACAATGGTTGTATGAACCCCGTTTGCGAATGATTGATTTGATATATTCAATTGAGGCATTAATCAGAATTGCATGAGTCTTGATCAAACCTGTGTGATTCCTGCTTTAACCTAGAACGATAGTCTCTCCATAGGTTAAAATAGAAACCTTAAATTGGAAGTGGTGAATCAACTGTTTTAGTCGAGAAGTCGGCTCACTGCTCTGTACTGGAATTAATGCCAATAGAGGGAGTTTGGTGTATTAGTGCCTTGGTAGTTTATGCCGGTGGAGGTTAGTCGCCCACTGGGTATTCGAACCAAGAGGGTATGGTCTTCTTTAGTCGAGCTTCCAGACTTGTCAAGAACTTTTCGCAATGTATCTTTCAATCTGAACAAATTGGGAATATATAATCCGAACTAGCTGCATACTAGAGGGAAACATACCTGGATGACCGTTAACATACTTGGAAAACCGGAACATTTCTTGCATTTGTTTATTTTGCAATTGAACCACTCACTACACTTAGTTTGCTAGATAATAGAAGTTTACGAAGTAGGCAGTAGATCTAGATAGGGATGGCAACAAAACCCGAACCCATGGGTACCCACCCGACCCAACCCGGTCAACGCGGGTAAAATCCGTGTTGACGGGTTTTGGGCCGGGTTTGGGTTTAAACCCGTTCACTATTCACCGGGTTGGGTTGGGTTGGGTTTGGGTTTAGGTAAACCCGACCCATGGGTACCCGCCCACACCCATAAAATTAATTTTCTCGGCATATTTAATATTATAAACAACTAATCTTATTTATGTTTGTGGAGACAAGTCTAATTTTTTCTTTCTAGTTATGTAGAATGAAGTTGATGTTTTTGAGTGGAGAGTGAAAAACTTAATTGAAAGGAAGAAGCTTTCGATTAATCATGTTATTTATGGATAATTTGTGATTTGCTTCAATTTTCTTGAGTTTTCTAGATTGGTGTTGAACAATTTGTGTAGTTAATTTGTGATTTGCTTGAATTTTCTAGAATGGTATTTTATATATGGATAATTTGTATTGAGAGATTAATATTTGACTTTAATTTTGATAGGAATTTGTTATTGTGAATTTTTTACGACAAAAACCCGTGGGTACCCATGAACCCGCGGATACCCAGCGGGTTGGTTTGGGTTTTACCCCGGGTTTTTTTCACGGATAAACCCATGGGTTTGGGTTTGGCAAAACCCGACCCAACCCGACCCATTGCCATCCCTAGATCTAGACCCTGAGTTGATAAATTAATATGAAACACTATTCTACATTTCCTTCCTACAATTAACACTTGGTTGTAGTTTGGTGTTGTTGTCATAGTGAGTCAGTCATTCAAATCCTTGTGAATTTTTTTAAACATCTCACCAATTTATGAGTGATTTTATCATTTTGCGAGTGATATATAAAATGGAATGGATCTAACGGGTCGACAAACTAACCCACCCATTCCGACCCAAAATATCATGGGTTATCGAGTTCGAGTCATTCGGGTTTCGGGTTATAAACACTTCTATTTTTAGGGCGGTTTTTGGTCGGGTCAACTAGTCGGGTTGTAATTTGGCAGGTCTACCACGATTGCATTTATTTATTCGACATAACTTTTGCAACACCAAGTAATACAATTGTGTGACCATAAAAATTATATGGTCAAATTAACCTTCTTCATAGGAATGGCAACGGGGCATGAATAGAGCAGATAGTGTCCTGCGCTGTCTCCTCGAATTCTTGATCCGATCCGATCCGTCCCGCGCACCCCCGACGGGTCGTCAATTTTTGCCCTAAACAATCCGCCCCGCTCCATCCTTAGAACTTAGAAGGGAGGATTAGAGACTCTTACATGCGAATGAGTGACTGGGACAACTGAGAGGTCGACGGCAAGACAGATATGAGGAAGGCCCAACGGTATGAACAACCGGAAGTTGACGACGAAGGCTATGGTGGTGATGGCGATGACGAGTTCAACCCGGCAAGAGAGAGGCGTGACCGCTGCAGATCTCTTGACGGAGAAGATGGGACACAAATGACGATGACAGTGGATCTGAGTGGTCGACATCGACTGTTGCTCCCCTATTCGCGATCAGCGGGAGAGTCCTGTGAACATCATGATGTTCTAACACGGATAAGAGTGCTATGGCCGTGAAATGAAGAGATAAAATAATAGTCGAGGATTGTGTTTGCGGTGAAGCCTTTTATCGATTGGGGTTATGGAATTAATTTGGGATATTTAATTGGGATGTGGTTTGGCAACTGGAAAAAATTAGCGGGGATTGAAAATTGGGAGAGGAGGAATGATTTCGATGAATGCATAAGGGATGGCATGCAGGGTCTGAGAATTTGGGTCTCTTTAGGAAATGGATATCTAGATGCCGTCTGTCTCTCTCTTTAGCTTTGCAGGGTATCAGACAACGGAGCGGAGCAAATCCGTGCAGGGCAAAGCAGAAGGCAAAATCCATGTCCACTATGTTTTACTAGCTGATCGGATCAAGATCCGCTCCGTCCAAAGGTGGATCCAATTTTATCCACCCCATTACAGGTCGGATCTAATAAAATCCACCGGATCGGATCTGGTTTGCCATCCCTATTTCTCCATACCAATATCCACGACGGTCTAGATGCTTATTTGAGTCCATTGATAGAGAGCCCAATGGAACAATCCACGGACACATTCTATTGCGTTATGGAAACTCATTCGTTCTGGTAAATGGCAGTAAGCATTGTATGAGCCCATGAACTGTTGTTTCGGGCTCGTAGCTGGTAGAACGGAGTAGGCCCAACCCAAACCTCTCTTCTATTCTTCCCAAATTTTATTCAGTGGAAACTGCAAAGGAAAATAAATTCGAAAAAGAAAAATTCACTCTCCCACTGATCTATGGACTCCCTCTAATCAATCAATCAAATATTAAACCCCACTCTCTCTCCCCCGATTCTTCTTCCCCAATCTTCTCCGCCGCTTCCTCTCCCCCACTTCCCGACTACGCCGCCACCGCTGCCCCACATCTACACCCCCGCCGTGAGCAGGTGGCGCGTTCCGCCCCCGCGAGTCACCTCAACTCATCCTCATCTACTCTAAACCCTCCCCTCAGCAATGGCGGCCACTCCCGTCCCTGAATCCGCCGACGGCCCCGTCCTCAGCCTAATCAACAAGCGCCTGCGCGCCCTCCGCAAGAAATACAACCGAATCATCCAGATGGAAGAGTCCGTGGCCCAGGGCAAGGCACTCAACAACGAACAAACGGAAACCCTCCGCTCCAAACCTTCCGTCTCCGCCGCAATCGACGAACTCGAGAAGCTCCGCCAGCCTCTCTCCGTCGCCGTATCCGAGGAAATCGAGCTCGCAATCGAGCGGCATCGCACCGAGTCTCAACCCGCCGCTGCTGCTGTTGTGGCCGCCGCGGTGGAAGAGGAGAAGATTGGCGAGGCCGAGGGCAAAGAAGAAGAAGTGGAGGGGAGTCAGCCCGAAAATTTCGATGCCATGGTCGGGGATCTCTTGAATTTGTTGTACTTCGGCGCCCTGTTCGATGTGAAGTCGCAGAACGATTTCACGGCGACGATGTTGAGCCGGACCCACGAGAGGGGTTGCTGCTTGACCTACGATTACGTGACGGACGATGCTACCGATCTGCTGAGCGAGAGAGATTTGGACATGATTTCTACTCTCAGTGGGCTGCTAATGTCCCGCCCTGTGGATTCGAGCTTGTCCCACAAGAATGCTCTGCAGCGGTGCGTTGAGCACGCCAAGTTGTGGCTGGCCAATGCCGATTGTCCAGTCGATAGCAATGCCGACATTTCCTGTAATTACTTCTTCGTCTGCCCTTATATTTCTCCCCTTGCCTTGTCTATTTGGCTTCAATGTCTTTGAACTTTGGTGGGACTTTTGTGTGCTGTAGATGCAGGATTGAGGGAGAGACTCAACAAGATTATGGCTTCCGACTATTTCACCACATCCCCTGAAAGGAAAGCTTCCATGGAGGTTGCTGCTGCCGCCGCAGCTGCTGGTAATTACGCCCATTTCCAAGTACCAGTGCACGGGGTGCCCATTGCAGTTCCTGTTCAGGTTGAGAGCCACTCTGTGGAGTACCAGCCTCAGGTACTATATCTTGTTTTCCTTGTCGGTCGAATGCAAATATATGGATGCTTGTGGTTAATTTTGTTGCAATGCGACCTCTTAAAATTATCAATCATAGTATAACCGTTGCTTACCACCAAGTGTTATTAGCAACACGTAAGGCTATTTAATTATTCATTGTCTGGGAAAGTAGGGTTCATCTGTATTTGTCTATTTGATATGAGATTTTCTAGCGGTTTCATTGGGTTTGCTCCTTGATTATAGCAATAGAATGTGTGGATTTTTTTCGTAGGTTGTCAACCATGTCCTGTTGTGAGTGCATAGAGATTGGAAGTTATCCGTGTTGCTTGGTTTCATATTGGTTCCGCAATTATATGCTGGAAAGTATTCAGTTTGTAATGTTGTCTTGTTAAAAGACTTTTCAGTTTACAGGTACTGTAGTATATTATGTAGAAGTCTACCATTAAAAACAGGGTTGTGGTGGTTATGTGGAAGGCAGTGTTTGTGCTTACTCGGTTGCGGTATTTATGGATGACTGATGACTCCATTAACATGTGAGGAGTATCTGACTGATCGGTGATCAATTGTCGCTGTCTATGGATTCTTCTTTTCGTCTCCATTGTACATTGCTGGTGCTATGTGCTATGTTCATAGAATTCTTATCTTCAATGCGTACATTCCTCTTAAGTGAGTAGATTAGTATATGCATGTTCCCTTAGGGCGATCCTAATAAATCCGCATAGAAAGAAATATATTAAGCTCATTTGGGTTGCTAAATGCTTCCTCCTTTAGGTGCTACGGAGTTGGTTAAGTTGGTTTTGTTATCATATTGAATTGAAGGTATTCATATTTCAAGTGGGTTTGAGTTGTATGCTGGTTGTTACCAGCTATTTGGTTACTTACATTTTGAAGAGGTCATCCTCAGGCCTAACGTTTGCTGGATGGTTCTTGTGGTGCATCTGGTTGAATCTGACTTTGTGATACTACTAGTTAAAGTCATCTGTTGCGGGCAAGGCTACATCCTTAAGTTCACCTTTGGGTATTCATTTGTTGCTTTTCTTCAGTGTGGATTCATTTACAAAATGGAGCCGAGGTCAGCTAGCAGAATCAGGCTACATTTAATTAATAAGAGTTAGATGTGAAGCCTACTAATATATTGCCTGGTCCAATCCCTCTTTAAAGTTGTAGCGTAACAAAGCAACAGAGTTGAGATAAGAAGTCTTTCCCGCTTGTTAGATTTTTTGCCCCTTAGGTATGCCTTATGCCTGTTAGGAAGTGCTGGAAACCATTCGCTTATTATCTCCATTGTTTTTTTTTTTTTTATGTCCATAGGAGTTGAGGTTTTCAACCAGTTTCCAGAATAAATCTTAGTAAACTGTCTTGTCCCATCAGACACCCTTTTGTATATCCACACCTAGTGTTAAATTTCTGGAGAGAACACCAATGCATTTCTTGTTCTAATGCATTTGTGACGAGTACAATTATGGAGTCACTGAAGGTCCATTTTGCATGAACTCTCAAGAACAATGACCTTTGTGCAGCATGAAGATGCAGCAATTTCGCAAGGACAAGATGTTGGCGATGATCAGTCAAATCCCACTGAGGAATTTCAAAAGGTGCATTGACCCTGAACACATTATTCATTTCTCATTTTCTTTCAATTATTAGTTTCTCAGATGATTCATTGGGCGCTTTATCTTATCCCCCCTTCACAGGATGATCCCCAATTTGAAAACCCTGAAGAAATTGTCTATGGCGAGCAAGAAGAAACAAAACCTTCACAGGACTTCGAGCATAATAATCAGCAAGACACAGAATCTAGGGAGCAACAATATGGCAACCGGAGGAATTACCAGCACCAAAGAGGTGGTAGCCGTGGTGGCGGCGGCGGTCGCAGGGGTTATCCCAATGGCCGTGGTGGCCGAGGAAGTGGCAGGGGAGGCGGTGGCTACCAAAATGGTAGGAGCAGCAACCAATACTATGACCAGCCAGGGAACTATTACCCAAGGAACTACCACAACAACCGAGGAGGAAGGGGCGGCAGTAGAGGTGGTGGCAACGCTGGCCAGCCTTACAACAACGACGTGGGGGTGGCCTCATGATGATAATATTGCTGAGCAAGTGAGCGATGGCTTATCTCTTTGGGTATCATATTTTGTTGGTGGGTGCTGAAAAACTCCATCTAGTATCCTTTTCCAGTTTTTGTTGTTGTTTGGCTCTGCTGCAGCTCTGAAACTTGTTTTGAAACATGGGTTCATTTTCTAATGTCGACGAATCTCACTCGAGCCCATCAAAGGACACCCTAGCTCCTCTGTTTTTGTAGTTCAGACTTTTGGGCAAAAATCATCATCCATTCCGGGAAAACTTCATGGAAGAAAGGTATTTTTGATCGGTCATTACTTTTGTTGTTTGGTTCCTTTGATTCTATTGAGAACCATGCCTCCAAAACCCATAAGAAAAAGGTGATGCCAAAGCAACATAATGAAGAGCCTCTTTTGATACTGTTACTTCTGGGTTCTGGTACACTGCACAAGCCATCAGAAAGAAAAGTTACAATGTGGTGTCCAGTAGATCTCCACTCACTGTGGAAAAAGCTAAATCACCCTTTCGAAGCAATGTCACAAGAGAATCTCAACTATTTGACGGAAAGAAACCCATTTCCAGAACGCATACACTGCTCCAAGCGAGTGACTCCTGCTTTCCTTACGAGAATCTGTCTCCAAATATGTCAACAACGCAGTTTTCCCAGAGAAAGTAACATTTGGTTTCCATCCACAGCAGAGGCAGCCATCTCATCAAGTTTTCTAGGCCACTGGAAGTCATGCCTCGTTACCTCCAGGGGAAGCAAAGCAACAAACTAGTGTGGAAGCACAAAACAGAACTCATATCATTAAGCAGTTAATCTGTTCATGACTTTAAAGTTTTGACCGTCGGACTTCTTTTTCTTTTGTGAAGGTGGTGTAGACGTGGAGTTCACAGCCTTTTCTGGTGCAAACCTCACTCATAATTCGTACAATTCACTATACGTCTACAATGACACGTGACTTTTGATCGTAGGTAGTAAATCATACGTAGCTTACAAGGTCAACACTCAACTTAGAGAACCAGATCACATCAATGAGGTGCATATCTTGTATGGACAATCTGACTTATCTCTATCGATCATAAGTTCCTAACTCAATACGAGAATCACAATATTTTGGGCCGAAACTCTTTGTAGCTTTATTTGGACTTTAAAGCGGATCTCTACCTATGTTTGACAAAGAGAGTTTAACTGTTTTCTATTTTATACGTAGCATGCCAATTTTTGAACTTTTTGTAGCACAAGTGGGTTTATTTTAATTTGTACAATTTATGCACCTTAGCACTCGCATAAGAGCTTCGTTTAACTCATTTTTCTCGATCCGTATGGAGTGGCAATGCAATAAAGGAGTGGATGAAGCTTCACCCGTAGCCTCAAAGCCAAGGTTGTCAACCAGCGGGTTGACCCAGACCCGGTGGAGCTAGTGGGTCAAGGGTTAATGGGTCACCCGGTTTAGCCCGGAAAATATGGAAATAGTCATTATATTGTACTTATCCTGATAAATTATATCAAATCTCATCTAACATATGAGTTATAACATATAATATTCCACCAAAATAACATGTCGTACTTAGATCCAACATATATTGAAAATTTACACACACTTATATAACATATATATTCAAATGTTTAACTTAGAATTCCAAAGATAGAGTAAGGCGAAAAGAAAAATCGGAAAAGAAACGCATTTCGCAAATCAAAGAAAACGACACAATTTGACCTCCAACCAGATATCTTGTAACGGTCGACCCGGCGGGTGCGTGCGGCTCGTATTTCTCACCGGGTCAGGGTTAAAGTGAGTCAACCCGCGGGTTGACAACCTTGCTCAAAGCACAATTCTCAAATGACAACTTTACTCGCCGAGGAATTGTACTAGTTAAGCAAAATCGTACTGTCGCGGGCCAATGCTCGATTGAACCGTTCATATTTCCTCTGTGAAATGAGTGATTGTCTCAAAGTTGCTTCACCCTATACTTTATTTGTGAAGGCAACATCTTTTATATTGCTTTGTCAGGTAGGATTTTCGAATGTATAAAGAACCAGTTCGACCCCATTAAGCTTTTAAGAGCCAAAGACTCGTTCGGAGGAGTTTAAGAACTCACAAAGGATAGTGATAAGCACGGTATGTGTTTCCAAAAATCTCGAATGGTCTTTAGTCTCATGATGAGGATATCCTTCATAGCAACTACACTAGTTTTGAAATTGCTTTGGGGAACATGCATTATTCAAAAAATTTGAATTTTGTTTTGCTTAATGTACACACAATCGTCTGGATGATGATAGACTGACGGGGCGGTGGGTGCAAGAGATCTTGTTCTCGATGGCGGGAAGGACTTCACCGTCTAACTACGGAGGAGAAAATACCGCTACGGTACGGATCCGGAGTTGAAGGCAGGAGTGGACATTGGCTCTTCTTTCGACGGAAATAGTGACTAATCGTGTAGACGTCGGGATGATGTTGGAGACGCCAACATTGGGTTGACTATTGGCAATGGCTACTGTGAAAGTAGCTTGAGGGGAACTAAAATGAGAGGAAGTAATATCCTACACCATCATACAATAATGATATATTATATCCCAAAAAATTATTAAAAAAATCTATCTGAACGAAAAAGTATACTAAATTGAATCTAATGTAAAACTATCGATGAAGATATATATTATATCTACCTAAGGAATAATAAAGTAAGCCATGTTTCTTAGAGACCTCTCTCGATAGAACCACTCTATGATAAAAAACCATTTCGTCAAACAATTGTATCATATGAGTTTTAACTTAAAATTTTAAGTGCTTATAATTAGCTATTTCAACTCATAAATGAATTAATTACACCATTTGGTATAAAAAAATTATAAACTTGAGTTTTAGCTACTCAGTACTTCATATTCACATGTAGATAGCTACTTCAAAGAGTTCGAATTGAGTTTGTTGAACTTTACCTAACAAAACTATGATATCAATGGCAAGATATGATGCTTTTTTCGAGAAATTGTGAGAATATGTTGGAGACATCAGACCTAACATGGATACCGTTGAATTTAAGTAATAAGCAACATTCATAGTCAATAGATTATACATGAAAAAAATATTCATCATTCCCATAAGTTGGTAGGAAGCAGTGAATAATTAGGAATGGAAAGCTATAAACATAGTTGATTTAACAAATAACTGCAAAAAATATTGGAAAAAGAAAAAATGCTTAGAGTGTAGGCATGCGAGTGTTACATTAAACCCTCAAACAGAAAGCAAGTAATCATTAATAGTTAGTTGTGGATATTGAAATAGTTTACTAAGCTGAATACTATATACTGGTGATTAATAATTGGACAATAGCTTGAACATTGCATCATGTTGATAAAAATTGTTTCGTTAATTACAATGCTGAAATAAGGGGTTGTATATGGAAGTCTTGATTGTTTTTTTTAGATTGTTAAAATAAATACATTTTTCATAATACAATACATATGTTTTTATTTTTGTTCATACACAATCATGAATTATTTGCTTGCTTTGACTATACTATCACTCAAATTGGATGATTAAACAAATTGGAATTTTAGCATAGACTGTCGAGATAATTGGTATCAGTGTTTGTCATGTTTAGTTTTCTTGAAATGTATGATACCAATGTTCTTATGTCGTCATTGAACACTTCAATTCAATGCAATATTCCAACCAATGATAATTGTGTTGAGATTTTAAGATTATCCTTCATTTATAAGTTAGAAAAAATTCTAAATTAATTGTTAAAATATGAAAATAGAATTATCAAACACCACAAAATACTTACAGGAGACTTAGCGGGCTAACTAACCGTGATAGAGAAGTATTCTGTTTTTCATAATTTTAACTTCCTCTATGATTTTATTAATAAAGTACAACAAATGTGTCTAGTCTAATTGGTTACAATTATTGTCTTTAATGGATGAGACCATGATTCAAATCCTAACATTGATATATTTTCATATGGAATAAAAAAATTGATTGTGTAGACGAAAATACCATTTCTACTTTCACTATCGTTGTAGGAAATTTGAAAATGAGCAAATCAAATTCATTAAAATGTATTATAAGAAGTGTAGAGAAGCTCGTAAATCATGCTTTACGGGACTCACAACCCGCAAACTTTCACTTTTCAAAAGGCCTATCTGAAAAGCATCTCAACATTTGCCGACATTTGGGCACGTTTATCGCATTCCAATCATCCCTGAAATCAAAGATATGACAATTGACAACAGTTTATCTCAACATCCTTGCAAAATGATATGAAAAAAAAAGCAGGCTTATCATGATTATGGGGTGAATTAGTGCCTGCCTGCTGGACAGGGACGTTGATGATTATTGTTCCTCTTCTTTCTTGTACTAATTTATAGAATATATGTTTTATCGGCCAGTGCATGGGTATGATTCTTTCCCCATCTAGCTAGTTGTTCCACTTCCACATACTATGGAATCCTCGTACAGAGAAGAACATTTGGATGTTCATCACGACGTAGAGGTCCATCATCTTCTCCTAATTGTTAACCTTCTCGAATTTGGTTTCTAGCTAGTTGTTCCACTTGCACGTACTTTCGAATCCTTGTAAAGTGTTGGTTTTAGCCGTTGTAACTACAAGTGCGGAAAGAACTTTTTTCATTTTTCAACTTAACTCAGTTTAATTAAACCCCAGAGTGGAATAGGGTAGCTACCTATACTATTCACGGAATATTTAGTGATGGCAATAATGGAAGGCGGGTAACTCAATACCATATCCGTCTCACACCAAGCACGGGTTAGGTTGGGTAATATCCGACGGTACGGGTTTAATTTGTTATTCCTAGAATTATTACTTGATGCGTACATTAAAAATGACATTGTTAGTAGAATAGACAATAAATGTATTTACAATTTTTTTCTCAAAATATAAAAACATGTTGTAGTTGTTTACGTAAACAAAACTTGTATGAATTAGTCGCTTCTTTTCTTATGTTTAAGTATTTTCTTTTATATAAAACTACACCAATTGTTCGATTTTCTCGCTCATAACTGACTATGAACATAAATTCCTAATAACACTTCCGTGAATACTCTCTCCTGGCCAACTTCTTCTGGTCGGGGTCAATGCAGAAAAGTAGCTTGCACTGGTGTAGAAAGAAGGTACTCACTGCTCCGAAATCAGAAGGGGGATTGGGCTTCCGGAGTTTTAAAGATTCCAACATGGCAGGGGAAGCTGCTGCGGCGGGGGGCAGGGGAGGGCGGCGGCGGAGGGCGAACCCGAGTGCTGGACCGGCGCAGAGGAATAGGATGAAGGAGATGTGATGGTAGGTGCTGGGTCGATGATGGAGATGATAGCGGAAAGAAGAGATGGAGCCGAAATGGGTTGGGTAATTAGTGATTTAGGGTTAAAATGGGTCAAAATGGGCTTGAATGGGTTTTAAGGGTAAAACCCAAAAATACCCTACCCTCTAGGGTCAGAATGTGACCCGACCCTATTTTGGCCCTAAAGACTAATTGACCCTACCCGACCCACAGGGTTGGGCCGGGCCGGGTTGGGCTGATGGGTAGTAAGGGCCACACTTACAGCCCTAGGTAGGACAAGACCCATGGATTCCCAATCTTCAAATGTTCACCATTTTAAGTGGTCCCCAACAACAGATTAAGGTCAGGGATTGGATTGATCAGGAGAATAGATGTTGGAACTCAGATTTTTATTCAAGGCCACGTTTCGGAGGCGGAATTAAATGCCATTCTGAGAGTTCCGATTGGGGAGGAAGGAGCTGATGATTTTTGGGCTTGGAATCTCACAAAAGAGGGAATGTTCTCGGTTAAGACGGCTTACCACGCTTTTCACAAAGCAAACACAAACTATCAACCGATGGGAAACGCAGACAAATGGAAATGGATGTGGAGTTTGAACCTCCCACCAAAGCTCAAGTTCTTCATATGGAGGTGCTCCAGAAATGGGTTGGCAATGAAAGCGAGGCTTTTTCATCGGAAATGTGCCCCTAACCCGATTTGTCAGGTTTGCAATAACCCAAACGAATCCATCTCGCACTGCCTCTTTTATTGCCCTCATGCCAGTGAAGGTTGGAGCAACATCTTCCCTTCTCTCCCCCTCCCTCCCCAGGATTCTTCGTTCTTTGATTGGATTTGTGCTATTAAGGAGGTCATTTCACATGATTCCCTTATCCATATTGTTTTCCTTTGCTGGAATATATGGAAGGCAAGGAATGAGTGTACGTTCAAGAATAGAGTTCCTTGGCCTCCTAACGTTGGTCTGCAAACTTTTAGAGAACTTTCCGAATGGACTTCCTGCCCGAGGCCCCAGTCTCCCAATCATGCCTCTCCAGCTCAGCTCAGGGGAACCCATTCCACTACGACTCCCTCGCCAAGTAATCATCCTATGGAGATTCACTATGATGGGTCGTTCATTAGCGACTCCCAGCCGACGGCTTATGGTGTTGTTGCGGTTAACCACCATGGACAAGTGTGTGATGGGCGAGCTGAGACTCTTATTTGTTCCACCCCGATTGAACCGGAAGTAAGGGCTCTCTTAGAAGGTTTAAAATTAGCACAAGAATATGGATCGGAATGCATTGTCCAATCTGACTGTCAGGTACTGGTGAATGCTTTGGGTAAAGGTAAATCAAGATGGCCATGACGCTGTGCAGCATGGATGGGGTCTATGATCAATATCCTCAGGTCAACCCTTCTATTAAAGTCAAGGAGGTACCAAGAGCGATGAATGTTAGAGCGGACTGGGTTGCACGATCTAAAACGAGATCTAATCTGCCTGTTGACTGGATTAATATTCTTGATATAATTTCTGATCTTCTGTAAGATTGTAATTTGCTCGCCTTTTTCGAAGGAAAGAATAAAAGTTGAATTATTTGTCAAAAACAAAAAAAAAGCTAGGGATTGGAGCTATACTTTAAGTGGGGAATAATGCCAATTCAATTCCATTTGCCAAAAGATTGTCACTTTCCTCTCAGGTTAATGAGATCGATAATCCAATAATTCCTCTTGTGAGATTTCCTTCTATTCAGAAGGTTGAGTGATGTGACAAGAATGATTTCATCAAGTCACATTGTGATTTCATTTCACCAGGGTTCCAAGCAGGCAGGCTAAGTGTATGATAGCTGTGTCAGCACTCAGCCGTCACACGTCCATCCAAGATTTTGACGAGAAAATTTCAATTGACACATCACTAAATTAAGAATATAAAAATGTTTTCGTGACTCGTTTTGAGAAGTAATGAAATGTTGTATTTGGCTTATTTACTTATTTTTCATTTTGTTGACAGACATATCTCTCCAAAACCTCACGTCTGACACGGATCCCAAGAAGAATAAATTACATGGACAAAAAGAAATGAAGTACCTTAGGCTTTAATACACTATGTTTGTCAACAAGGGGTGCAAGTTCGGGGTACAAGTTGAGGGGTAAATTGTTGGGGGTGCAACTTGGTGGAGGGTGTAAGTGGAGGGGTAAATTGTTGTTTGGATGAAAAAGTAGGGGGTGCAAATAGAGTAAAAAGTAAGTAATTATATTATTATAAAATAGATTTATCAATTTATAAAATATTATCACAAAATAATAACATGAAAATTCAATATATAATAATAAAAAATAAAAATAATTTTAATAAAAATAATTATTATATAATAATGCTCAAATATAATTATTTATAACAACAATAATAATCATTGGTCGAGCAACATCGAAACTCGAAATCCAACTCGTAACTGGTCATCATAAGGGGAATCTCGTGCCTAACTTTAAATTGAATATGGTCAAACTTAGTCAAACACGTTCGAATCTGTAAGTTTCAACTACTTATTAAAGTAAATCGAGTTAACTAAACTGTTCCTCTCTATCTTTTCAACAAATGCTTCTTATCTCTAATTTTCAATGCAAATTCGGGTCAACTAAGAGATATCGATTTGACGAGGCGAACATTGACAAACTTGCTCTCTGAGTCAAACGGTCAACCCCAAACAACTTCTACACTAATATAGATATAAGAAAAAATAATAATATTAATTATTATGTAATTATAATCTAATTAAAAATTCATAATTCCCTTCCTCCCCCTTCCCCCTCCCTTCCTTCCTTCCCTTGCACCCCAATTTGGGGGGTTAGCCGAAACAGTGAATTTACGCTCACGTTTTGCACCCTCCTACTGTTACAAAATAACCAAACGGGGGTAAACACCTTGGAACTTGTGTTTACCCCTCCAAACTTGCACCCCCTTCCATTTACACCCCTTCCCAAACATAGTGACAAGTCCAAGAAAAGTGCAAGATAGGTGATGAACAAGTTCTAATGTTTGGCTTCATAATTTTGTTATTCTAACTTAACTTAATTTCATATTATTGTTGTTCGTTAGCCAATTTCTGGCCTCGTCGATTCTGTTTGGCCTCACCATGTCTCCTTGCTAAAACTAGTCAATAGAATGCAATGCTTGTCGTTAAGAAATTTTATTCTCCTATCGATTTATCATACTGGTGCAGAGATTCTTCACGCGCCAACAAATAACAAACTTAAAATTTTTAATTTAATTAAAAAAACGTGTTCGGATGTCAATTCCAGGTTGGTAAAACACCAATGTAGCTAGTAAGAGTGAAATTGACTGAACTGTTTTGCCTCATTTCAATCATTCCAAGTTCAAAGAGGATGGTGATGCAACTTGACTCTACTTTAAAGTCCAAGGAAACACAATGAACCAATACGTTGAGGAATTTTACAATGCTATATAGCATTGGTGCTATAGGTTTTTACTTTTATGGTACAACTTGAAATTCTACCTTTAATGTTATGGTACAATTTCAGATTGTACCTATACTTTTTGTACAAATTCTTTTATGGTACAACTTAAACTTGTACCTTATGTGATGGTACAACTTCAAGTTGTAAAGTTGTACCATAACATAATAATACAAATTCCTTTATGGTACAACCTAAACTTGTACATTTAATGTTATGGTACAACTTCAAGTTGTACATTAAAGCACCAATACTATATAGTATAGTAGAAGTGCTCCCAATACGTTACCTTGTATGATTAGTCTGTCACTTGTATATGTCAACAGTATCAATGTATCATACAACATAGAGATACTTCACACATTTAAGTGGGGAAAACACTCTTTTGCAATCTCAAAAGAATCTCAATTTCTAAATATTTGAAATCAAGTTTCACTCACTCATAAAATATTATTAAGAAGTAAGTTTAGTCAAACTGTATAAAATATTCTTTTCCTAAACCTTTGATTTCAATTTTCTTACAACCAAAGCAAGTCGCCAGCCAACCGAACTCTAATGCTCCTCATTTGCAGAAAGATTTGTGGCTGGCGTTGGATCTGTTCTTTCTATCCTTTTTCTTTTTCACCATTTCAATGGTTTCCACTTTGATGGAAGATATAATTATTATGTTATTATAAGCCAATAATAAATAGTAATAATGCTTCACAATACATTGGCACTACAAATTATAAATTATTTCGTTAACCTGCATCTAATCCTTTGCCATTTTGGTTTCTGCGGTCCATAGCATTGCAGCCTCTCTGTAGTAAGAATCATATTCCCCAGCTTGCCAATGACAACTTTACTGCAGATTTCTTTCTTTTGCGGCCACTCCAGATCTCTCTATATAAGGATCCTTCCCACGAAGTTACAATCTCCAAGCCAGAGTGTTCTTCTTCCCGATACAGCCCTAAGAGACCAAGCATACAAAGTAACAGCTATGAGTTACAATTTCCCTCTTTTCCAGAGAAGAAGGTCGACCCTAGGAAGCTCCTTCGAATTCAAGTTCCCCAACCCTGGTGGATATTATTCGTACAAGAGACCCGCTCCATCTGGGTTCGTGGAGCCACCACCTGCAACTGCAAACCCATGGAAGCTTGCTGAGACCTCCAGGGAGAGCTTCAAGAAGCCAACTGGGGTGGTGGAGGTTCATTCTGCAAGCCAGTGGAAAGTCTTCATTGATGATTCCAGGGAGAATAACAAGTTGGTAAGGACACTTGATCTTTCTCAAACAGATTTCATGAGTTGTTTGCTTTGCTATTCATCTAACTGGGTGTTTTTCCTCTTTTATGTTATTTTGCTGCTGCTGCTGAAGTTGGTCATACAGTTCACTGCAACATGGTGTGGACCTTGTCGACTCATGGTGCCTGCCATGGAGGAATTTGCTGCTAAATACACAGAAGTCATGTTCATCAAGATCGACGTTGACAAGTTGCCGGTATACAGTCTCTAATTTTCTTGTCGAATTTCTTCTTCTTCTCTGTCTTTTCGGCTTCTGGAGATCGACTGAGTCTAAATTCTGCAATATACTGCAGTTGGTGGCTCGCCAATATGATGTCCAGATAATGCCTGCATTTGCGCTGATCAAGACTGGGAAAGAGGTCGAGAAGGTGGCAGGAGTCAAAAAGACCGAACTCCGGAACAAGATTGAAAAGCATAGGCTGTAAAGGTCCAAGCATTCTGACGAACTGACCGAAGAGCCTTTGAACATGTTTAGAGGCATACCGCACAGGCAAAAGGAGCATCAGAAGAATAAAACTTAGGCCAATCATGGCAAATGGCAATCTTATCCTGCGGCCAAAGTAGAGCAATATCTTAGTAGTCATATCAATTCCTCTTGTACAAAATAACCCTGGTACGTCGATGTCTCAGTCACGAAGTCAGCAGACAAATCTTAGGCCAATTTGTACAGCCTCTCCCTGTTCAAAATTATTCTGCTCAGATATATCTGATAGTTATACAATTTCCACACTCCAGCATGCAAAACATATTCAGATGAAATATCCAGATGTGGAAAAACAGATCAAAAGAGGTTCTTCTTCCCCTTCATTTGCAGGGGAAGAGAGACTAAGATTAGGACTCTTGAGTATACAAAATTAAAATTAGAAAGCACAAAAGCAAACCCTGTGGCAGCCAAGAGAATTATCCTAGAACAAGAGGAGGCCACATTATGCTGGAAAATATAACACCTTACAACATTTTCCTTCCTACTATGCACAACCTTCTTCCTTCTAACAAGCATTAGAAAACACGATAGTATTTACATCCGACCAAACGAACTTACGTTGCAAGATCAGTGTCAATGGAAAAGGTTGGCACTTGCATCACGGACCACCACCCAGTACCCGTTTTAGATCGGACTTCTGTTCTGCTGTCAATCTTGCTGGGAACTTGACATCGAACTTGATTCTTAGGTTCCCTTTATTGTTAGGCTCTTTAGAGATGGGCATTCCTTCATTCTCAATCACAACTTCATGGCCCGGTTTGATGACCTCATTCACCGGAACCGTGAGGAATCTCCCATCCAAGGTTGTCAACACAACAGTCTTTCCAGTGAGAGCTTCTAGCAGGGTTATCTTTTGATGAACCACAAGATCGTTCCCATCCCGCTTGAACAGAGCATGTGGCTTCTCATCCACCACGAATATTAGATCAGCTGCACCAACACCAGGCTCCTGATTACCTTTCTCAGGGAATGTGATCTTTGTTCCTTTCTTCCACCCGGGTTTGATATCTATCTTTAGGATCTCCTCCACAGCCTTTGGCTTGCTGTGCAAGGGGGAAAAGTTAGTTGTGTGAAACCCAAGCAATAACATGAATACTTTAGAACAGCTTAGCAGTTTAGGGGAATTATAAATTTCAATACTTTTTCAGCCGGCCGGCCGGCCAGCCAGCCTACGATACATTCCATCACGTCATACAATTCCCTATTTCTCTATCGAACGAAACCCCAATTGGCCAAAAGCTGCAAAAAGAATGTGAGGAAAGCAGATTTGGTTGATGGAGACTACCAAAGATAATCTTAACTAGAGAGGCCACAGTCACAGTTTAAAGAGCTGCGGTTGAAAATGGAAAGTCCAACACAGTAATCGAAATTCAACCCAGTTGAGACAAGATATCATTCCATCCAGAATGAAATTTACATTCCCAAAAAGAATCAAAATTATAATGAATAGAAAGGGAAACAAATAGACCAGCCGACCATTGATGAACTCGAAGCAAGCAAGCATCGCTGTTTTTGTTTCCTTTGTTAATGATTTTTCACAGAAAAGGGAAGGCCCAGATTTCGAAAAGTCAGCAAGAAAGAGAGAAGGGAAACGGGGGTGAAAGTTGTTTTATAACTAACCCGAATTCATCAGGAACGTTGCGGGAAATCTTCATTTTTCGTCTTGCCCCTTTGTAAAGATCCTCCAAGCTACAAGCCAACTTGCTCTCAATCGCCGGAGCTTTCTTATTCCCCTGATGATGATGATTCCCTGGGGTCTCCCCATTCCTCCGATTATTATGATTATGATGATGATGACTCCTCCCACTCCCGCCGCCGCCGCATCCACCAACCCCGCCGCCGCCTGCGCCGCCAGATCCACCGAAGAATTCCGCGAATATGTCCTCCGCATCGCGGGGATTGAACCTGAATTTCGAATCCCCGGATGGGACGTCGTCGGGCGGAGGGAAATCGAACGTCTTCAGACCTTCCTCCCCGTAGAGATCATAGATCCGCCGCTTCTGGGGATCGCTCAGCACGTCGTAGGCCTCGGAGACCTGCTTGAATTTCGCCTCCGCCTCCTTCTTGTTCACCAGATTCTTGTCCGGATGCCATCTCATCGCCAGCCGCCGGTACGACTTCTTCAGGTCATCCTCCGTCGCACTCTTGGCCACCTTCAGCACCTTGTAGTAATCCACTCCCATATCTCTCTCTCTCTCTGTCTCACTTTCCTTCTCTCTCTTTCTCTCTCCTTTGATCCCAAAACTAACTGAATTGCGTCCCCACTAACGGAGTTTTAATGGCGGATTTCCTAAAAAAAAATATGTTCGGCTGGCTGGGTGATTCGAGAATCTTCTAATTCAGACGGCCCAGATTACCGGCGGGTCGGCCGGAGAAAGTGAGCTGGAAGAGTCTAGCCAAGCCGGTTGAGAGAGAAGAAGAAATGCAGAGGCAGAGAGAGAGAGAGCCTTTTTTTTTCCCTCTTCTTTAACGCGTCTAAGTTTCACGTCACAGCTCACGACGGAATAGAATCCGCGACGGATGAATGAGATGCCGCCACGTAAGGAGGGTGCGGAATTGCAGATTAGAGATCTGCAGTTAGCTTAACGGAAGAGTGAAAAGATGTTAGCGGTCAGAGGGAGTGAATTGGGCATATTGGATAATATTAGGTGTTGAAATGGAAATTTATTTGGACGGAGTGGTGGCCGCCAAGTTTTTAGTAAACAAGGCAGAGAATCTGGCTGGGCCCCATGATGGCTGGCCCAACGGGATCTTTCTCTTAATTATTTTTTGTTTTCTGCGCAGCAAAGTTTCCGCTAGACGACGCCGTCCGGGACATTGTGTTCAATATCTATGGGTTTGATCACATCGCCCTTTTTGTTTCTGGCTTTTAAAGTTATTTGTTCCATTGCATTCAGACTTCCCAATTTCATGATAATGTTAGAGATAGGGAAGTTGAAATTTGAAGATATCGAAATCTCTAAGTGATTAAGTTAAGCTTCTAACTAATGATATGACAAAAGAAAGGAATATGCATACTTGATGAGGAACAAATCTGACTTCATTTGCAAAGTTGAAGAATATTCTAAGTAATAGTTTTAGAGCATTTTGGCTCGATCAAGGTGGAGAATACCAGAATCAAGTAAAGGTTTTAAAGCATTTGAGCTCCATCGAGGTGGAGAGTACATGACTGAAGAGTTTTTGCGAGAGATTGCATAATGTCACGATTCAAAATTTAATCCATCTAGAAAACCTTAATGGAATGACATGTATGAAAGTAGGGGTGGGCATCGATTTGGTTGGATTTCAACCAAATCAAAATTGAGCATAACGGGTCTCCGAATCAGTCCATGACCCCAACCGAATTTGAACCGAAATATGATTTGGCTCGATTTTAAGACCCAAACCAAAGTTATATTGAAATTTGAAACTAACACCTCTCCTATTTACCCCTTCCCATTGGACCATTTCCCAAAGGTGAGAGCCGAAAGGGGAGAGGCTAGAGGGTTGACGGCGAGAGACGAGAAATGAGAGATGAGGTTGAGCGGCAAGAGAGGTTTTGTTTGTGATTACTGATTAGTTACTAGTGAGTTAGGGTTTCATTTGGGGTTAGGGAGTTAGATGGTTTCATTTGGCTTTGGGCTTAGTGAGTTGGGGGGTTTGGGGTTAGGGAGTTAGATGGTTTCATTTGGCTTTGGGCTTAGTGAGTTGGGGGGACAAGGATGATTTTTGGGCCTAAGTAACATATTTTGGTTTTTCGGTCAGGAATTCAGAACTTCGATTCGGTTGAAAGAACCCCGATTTTTGAATTATCCATATTGCCCTTTCGAATTCTTAACCAAATAACATTATTTCGATTTTGGTTTGGTTTACTTCGATTTCGGCCCGATTTGGTTCAGGTTTGTCGAACTGGATGCCCACTCATAATGGGGAGGGGTTGACTATGTAATTGGGGATGACCAGATGGGAAGCAGAGACGCAAAAGCGAGGATAGTTTATTTTGGGAAAGCTTTCGATTGGTGGTTTTAGATGTTGGTTACAACTGAAAACGACAGCGACAATGGGAAGGGGAGGAAGTGGTTGGGCAGAGAGTGAGGGGATTAAATACAGTTTTCAATTAATTAATTAATTTTATTTCTTGGCTGAATTAATTAATTAAATAATTAATTATTTAATGAGGTGGTGAACATGCATTAGTCACGTCAGCAATTTTTGGCTGAGTCATTAACTGTGAAAATGTTTTACGGTTAGTATTGAATGTCAACATAAGTTTTGGTTGATATGAGGGTCGTTACATTAATTGTGTGTTTGACTAGGATCAACAATAATTCTCACTTTTCCAACAAAAAATGCCACATAATAAGAATTTTGAACTTATCACCAGTTGGAACAGGGGCGGAGCCAAAGATATGATGTTCCGGGGGGTGGGAGGGGCGAGATTTTTTTTCATTTACTATCGGAAAAATGGCAATTACATAAACAAGTTATTAAATTATAAATTATATCAACAAAAATAAATTTCTACGGTATTATGTTCCAAAAAATGATTAAATTGTGTGAACAAAAAATAAATCATGCATTTTTATGTACACCATGTCTTTAAATGTCTTTATAATTGAAAAATAAATAAATATATATATATATAATCATGTTTAAAGAAAATTAATATAACCTAGAAAATATATATGAATTCAAAAGTCAGAACTAAATTACATTGAATGTACTTCGCTACTAAAGAAGCACTGAATGAATACGTAAAACCGAGGAGAAAGAATATACAAAAAATTTGCTCTCTCCATTCACATAAACTGCCACCGATGTTTATACTGTAATGTGCAGTCTGGACTCAACTCTTAATCCACTTCATAAACATCTCAGGAAAACCCATAAAAGTCATCATATAAAAGAGATATATTCAATTTACAGAATCGAACACCTTCATTATATCAATTTTAATAGCACAATGAGATGAGAGCCCAGTCCTATGATATCCACTAACCAGTTCCTGTGCTAACCGTATGTTATCTATAATACTCCTCCCCTTGATCAAAGCACACTGCGTGTTACTAATGACCAGGCGCAAAACTTTCCTAATTTGTCTAGCAAGTATCTTAGCACCTATTTTGTATAAGAGATTTACACAAGAAATTGGCCTAAAATTCTTTAAGGTAACAACATTAGGGATTTTGGGAATTAGAGACACAACTGTGGAGTTAATTCCACTAGGGAGAGTACCTGAATTGAAGAAGTAAAGAACCCCTCTGGTTACATCAACACCTATAATGAACCATGTTCTCTTACGCATTTTTTTATTTTAGTCATTCGGTCTAGTGTTATTTTATAATAAGATTGTGTTTGACTAGAAAATAATTCAAAAAAACATATTCAAATCACAACTCTAAATTTAGCCTAGAATTTCTAAAGCCAATGATTTTTGTCTTAAAAAATAAACAATGAAACATAAAAAGTCTAAAGCGTAAAAAACTAAAAGAAATATAAAGTTTGTTCCACTGAAAAATTACTAGAGCAGCTTGTGAAAATAGATATGGACACACAATAAAAATTGATTAGTTGATTGATTTGTCTAGTGTTGTCATTGTTCATTTCAATGGCTACTACGGACATCACCTTTTCAACAACGAAACATGTGAAAACTGATTTACGCAACAAAATGAACAATGAATTTCTCGCATATTGGTTAACTATTTTATTTAAAAGAGAGTATGCTATTGGTATGGATGTAGATTCCATTATCAATAAATTTGCTTTATTAAAAGACTGTTTTGTACCATTGACATTGTAATAAAAGAAACAATAATTATTATATATATATATATATATTAAGATATCTAATTTCTAATAAAATACAGTCCAATACTCTACTATAAGTCTATAACCTAGATCAACCGCTGGTAGTTTCACCGATATTCCTGCCCCTGATCCCAGAAAGAGACAATGCCTGCAAATTACGATGCTTAAGCTCAAAAACAAAAGGTTCATCATAAAAATATGTCAATATTTGCTCCCATTCAAGTAGGGCTGTAAATGAGCCGAGCTGTTTGCGAGCGTCTTGGTGCTCGATTCAAAAAAAAGCTCGTTCAAAACTCAACTTGTTTACTAATGAGCCGAGCTTGAGCTTAGCCTTTTGCAGCTAGCGAAGCTCACGAGCTAGCTCGACTCGGTGGCTTGTTGAGGTCAACTCGTGAGCTGGCTCGTTTAGAGCTCATGAGATGTCTCAACTCTCAACATTGTGGCTAGAGAGCCAACTCGATTACCTAATTATGAGCGAATCGATCCATATGAGTTTGATTTTGATAATTCATAAGATTGTTAAATTATATGTATCACCCTATATGAAGTTTAACACGTAGATTATTTGAACAAATATGTCTTATCTAATTTTAAAAAGTAATTATGTATCATAAATTGTTTCGATATTATGAAATCACATACTTTTCACTAGTTAAAATTTGTTAACTAAATAATTTGATACCACAAAGTATAACATGCGATTAGTTAATATTGAACACTTAATTATTATTATGATTTTCATCTTGACATTAATCACATGTATCATGTATGACATACAAAATGAATATATCAAATACGAGTCAAGATTTTATTGAACTCGACTGGACCAGGCTCGTTAATAAACTAGCCGAGCTCGAGCTCAACTATTTATTAATGAACCGAGCTCAAATTAGAGTAAAACTCGACTCGTCTCATTTGCAGCTCAACATTCAAAGCAACCCATAGACAGCATGAATCATTTGGATTGGATTATTATGAACCCATAGTTCCAAACTGATAATGAATCCGTTGGTTGAAAAATTGACCTGTTGGTTAGAACTCCATCAATATCCGTCGTTTGCAAATCATTGAGACATCCCTCGCTCACCACATCATGATAGGTACAAATATTAGACAGCGATTCTCCAATGGGCAATGCCTTCTTCTCCGTTGCGAGTAGAAAGTGAGCTGTTAGATGGCGTTTACCAAGAATCTGCTGAAAATGATGATGAGATCATCAGAAGGCTCCTTCTGAACTTTATATGAATCTCTTCTCTACCAATTTCTGATGCCGACCCAAGTACTTCACTGGAATGGATCACGTTAGTTGTCAGCCACCTTTACAATATTCCTCTGTCTCTCAAACTCTCTGGCCACTGAAAGAACAGAACTGAACAGAGCAGAACCCTAACCTCTTGTCTCGAGAAATCGAGCAAATCCGCTCAGGACTGGAAGTCAATGTCCCAGAGAACCCAAACATCAGTAGCTCTCCGATGCCGCATGGATAACGGAATCGGGGCTGTTTACAGTTTCCTCACAGGACTTGGAATCCTAGTCCAGAGCATATATCGTTCCTCTATAAAATAACTGCTTCAAAAACCAAAAACACTCAAAAACTTGGCCAGAAAAACTACGAAGGTGGCTACAATGGAACAGAAACATACAATGAAGGTCTCCAACATTCATGTTAATGGGTCCATAGTTCCAGAGGTCATTCTAATCGACGATGACGATGATACTGCTCCTTGTGGCTATACCGAGTCCCCAGCAAAGCAACTCACTGTTGCCGCCACAGAGAACTCTAATGATGAGAATAATCACCCAATCGTACTGGGCCTCCCCTGCCCGCAGACTGCCATGGAGTCGACCAAAAAGCGACCGCACAATGATAAGGATGTAAACGAACTTGATCGTGCAAGGTCAGCCTCGCGTCCACGAGTCACCAATCCAGCTCCCAACTCTATTCTTCTTCTTCCTCCTCGCACTGCGAATAAGGGAAAGTCGGACAAGTGCTTGGCAATGCCAGTAGGGAAGCCGCCACTACCGCCTCATAATCTGAGCAACCAGCAGTTGCCATTGTCGATGACGCATGAAAGCCACAATGGTGATGATCAAAGTGACGAAGATATTGCTGAAGCGGCGAAGAAGAGGGAAGGTGGTGCTTGGGTTAGGGAATTTGCTAAAGAGCTGCTAAAGGGCGCGCCGTTGGATCTGCTGGTGGAGAAGCCTATTGAGATGTTACCTAACCCAAGCTACCAGGATAAATCGTTTCACCATTAGCTTCTAAGACTAAAGACAGTTCACAAAGCGATTGAGAATTGCACCCCCCCCCCCCCCCCCCCCCCCCCCCCCCCCCCCCTTTTTTGCACGTATATAAATTCAATTCAATTCATGGTTTTCCTTGAGAAACTTCATTAGTCACAGTTCGTTAGAATTTACCAAATAACCTGGATTGCAATGCTTGTGCAGCAAGAAATCAAAAACCAAAAGAAGACAATCCCTTAATCATTCAATATATTCATTCATCCAAAGAAACCTCTAACTTTGTGGTTCCATGTTTGTTTTGCAGTAGAAACAAAGTCCCAAGAACCTGAATAACAAAACACTCATAACCTCTTCTTAAACTGGAACCGTTCCTTTCAATTTCATCCTTTTCAACAAATTTTACAAGATTAAAAATTTGACCAATTAAGCTTATCAACAAAAACCAACATAAGCCATTATACTAACTAGTGCTACTAGCTAGCTGCATGGTACTGATCAAAGCAGCTTTTCAAAATGCATGTCAAAGCTTTGATGGCAAACCACTCTTGGTTCTTCAACAATCATTCCTTGACATATAGATCATCCCATTTCACATAGCAGCAGTATTTACAGTCCAGGAGTATATCCATCGACCATCGTCCAGATAGATATAGTGACAGATCACAATCACAGCAGTCCTTGTTTCTCGAATTCTCTGGCCACTGAAAGAATGAAACAAACGAACGACAGTCATGATAAAGCTGGAACCGAAACAAGGATAATACATGCACTTGTTCCTATTCTCACTGTAACTATTCAGATCTCTGTCACTGTAACAAAGAATCAATGAAGTTTGAGCAAGGGAGAGGAAATGTGACCTTTAGAAGAGGATGGAACAACGATGACGTGCATATCGGCATTGTTAGGAGGGAGCTGCAATCGGAGAGGGTAAAGCTTCCCATTCAAGGGACTCCTGGAACAAACCACTATATCTTCCAAACCAGTCTCTTCCTTCAGCTTCTGGGTCAAGCCTTCAACCCCATTCCCTTTGAAACTCAGCGAATAGCCTACTTCCACGTCATCCTCCACCTCCCCCGTCTCGTCAGCTACGTGGTAGTAAATAGTCCTCCCCTCCAACTTCGGCGGCGACCCAACATTCGAGTCCGTCGACTGCATCAACCATAAAGAACAGGAAAAAAGAATTTCCCAATCAGAGATTCAGAATCGTATTCTGGCCAGCATAAAGAGTAAAAAGACTCAAACTTTGGCTTCCAAATCAAACCAATCGGACCAAAACCCATACCTCTTGTCTGGAGAAATTAGTGGGTTTAGCGGAGAAAGAGGAAGGCGAGCTGGATTCCTCGAAATTGAGCGAATCCGCGTGAGGGAGCTCCTGCTGCTGAGAAGCAGGGGATTTGGCGGCGGCAGGGGACTGGACTTGAATCTCGACGACGTCCATGTCCCATAGAACCCAATCCTGGGTCGCGGTCCGATGCGGGATGTCGTGGGTCACAGAGTTTCTCCACGGCGGGAGGCCGCCGTTAGCTCTCAAGAAGTTCCCGTACCGGGTCCGGAGCTTGATCTGGGTCCCCTCCCGAACCGGCTCCCACTCCACCGACGAGTCGAGGCGGCGGGGGAGGGTCTGGAGCACCTTCCGGCCGGTCATGCCGAGGAGGAAAGGGTGGTTGGAGGCGGTGAGGTACTTGCCGTAGGAGGACTTGAGGCGGATGATGGAGTCGGATCCGGGTACGGGCTCGACCCACCACTTGGCCGACTTGGACGACCCGTTTCGGTCCTGGAGGACGGATTCCTCGTCGTCGTCGGCGAGGAGGTACTTGTCGTGGTGGCTGCGGAGGCGGACGGCTTTGGCCTTGTGGAAGAACTCCATGGCGGAGCGGAATTGGTTGAAGCTGTCGGTCTGAGAAGAAGAAGAAAAAAACAGAGATTGAAGAGAGGAGGAGTCAAATTGAATAGAGAAGATCGGAACTTTTTTATATGATTGGAATTGGGATTACTTCCTTTTTCTCTTTCTTTATCTAATAATAATGGTGGTGGGAGAAGGAAAGAGATCGGGCGGCGACAATAGCGGTTGCTGGGAAACAGTCGGCGCCAGCCAAGTTGGAAGGGATAGTAAAAAAGTGGGTGGGGGCAGCGGCTGCGGCGGGGGAAGGGAAAGACGCGGTGGATTGGAAGATGCCACGCGCCAACGCGGTGCCTTCCGCGGTGCGAAATACGACAGTGCTTTCTTGCGTTTTGTGGAATTGGTTGCATTGACAAAAGTGAATGGAAATGGGAAAAGAAGATTAAACTCGACTCAATTCATTATCCACTCCTTTCAATGTTCCATGTGACCAAGTCGCTATTGTGTAGGGCAAACATTAACCAACTGGTTGGTTTGTGATACTTCCCACCTACTTGAAAGATGTAAGTTGTACTCAATTTTGTTGTTTTTTTTATGATTATGTTACAGTAAATCTCGTTCTCAACCCTTAATTAGAAGTCTGATTCGGTTACTGAATAGATGTTATAAGTGTTACTGTGTTAGGCTCTTAGCTCTATGTATTGTAGCTTCAACATCAAACTATATGATCGAAGAATTATTACGCATCTCCCATTATTATCTTTTTGTCTTTTCTTTTAAAACTCCCTTCTTCAATTGTACTACTCTAAACCTAATTCTATTATTCTTTCACTTGCCTAATTGCGCCTAAACTCTGTGAATAATGGAGTATCAAGATCTAAGGGGTCATTTGCTTCGTATTAAACATGAAGGTTTTGGTAAGACTTGAGTTTTGGAAAATTCTAGATTTGTGATAGATTTTTAACATTATGGATATGGATTTGACTGAATATATTGTTTGCATATTGGATTTGCTCGATTAGATCATGAATTTATGGTCATGCTTCAAATCCTCCCTTTTGACATAAGATTTGCAAATTTGTAGAGCCCATGAATTTGATTCCCCAACAAATTTCAAGCAAACAATAACTTTATGCAAAATCTTCAATGAATTGAATTTGAGACCCAAATCCATTATTTAAATCCATGAAGCAAACCATCCCTACGGTAAGAGTATTAGGTCACGAGTGTGCACCTAGCTCTCTTTTATTGTTGTTGTTGCTACTGCTCCATCATCATATTGTGGTGAACATTATTTTACTGTTTGCTTATTGGATTTGATTATGAATTTTCTTAATTAAAGCATGAATTAATGACCATGCTCCAATTTCCATCTCTTGACATGGAATTTGCAAGATCGTGCGTGGTGCCACGAATTTGAACCCTCAAACTCCATCGACCACACGAATTTGATTCTCCAACAAACTTCAACCAATCAATAACTTTGACAAAACCCATGATGAATGGGATTAGGGATCCAAATCTATCATCTAAATCCATGAAGCAAATCCATCCTTAAATATCTATGGTAACGTGTGTCAGGTCACGGGTGTACACCTAGCTCTTGTTTTTGTCATATTGTCTATGACAATTTTTTGTTGTTATTGTTGTTGCATCATCAGATAGTGGTGAAAATAATTGAGTTGACGTCTAGGTTAGCTAATACTTGTTGAGATTGATGTAAACCTGGCTACAAAGGTCCAAAGTAATGGAGCTTTTGGTCAAGGTTGGAAGACTTCTAATATATAGTAGTGAATATAAAAGAGATTAACCTGTCTACTACTGGCTGCTACTAATGCTGCGTGGAGCTAGCGATGCCTTAATGGGGAAGCCTTATTTTAGTTTTTCTAACAGTTGGAAGGACAGCAAAGGCAAGCCACTTGGCTTGGCTCACGCATCAAAGGGTTTTTTTTCCAAACTCGTACAAGTGTATGAAGTCAATGTATAAAAATACTTTATTATTATTATTATTATTATTAAACGAAACAAACAGGAAGTTTGATGTCTCCAAGACTCTTTAATCATGTGAATAGAGAGGAGTGTCATGAAGTTAAGGCACAATCAGACGGCTTCCAACAAAGTTTTGGATGTAGCAAGTCATACACAATGGGAAAAAGCACAAATGTTTATCTCAGGTGAGTCGCGAGAACGTGCTCATAAATGTTCATAGTTGTATGATCTGACGATCGAGAATGATTCGTGAATATTATATCAAAGCAGTAACAATTTAACTACACAAAATTGTCACTACTTCAATTCAAAGTTTGGCAATCACAAACGGACCCGATCTAACGACTCAAGACACCTTTGAATACCGTATTTAGGATGGTATTCGTGTGTGCTAGGAGTGGATTGGCTTTTGTGCTAATGCCTAATATTGAGGGTGCTGTCCCAATCCAACATTGAAGAAAGATTTCTCCAACGACGACGGCCACTACCTAACTGAGCACACCCGGAAAAAAGAAAGAGAAGAAAAAGTGGCCTATCCGAACCGGCAAATTGTCTGTCTTATTTGGTGGTGCTATTACTTTCTTCTTCCCAAAAATAATGTTGGAGAGATGAATTAGTGGTGCAAATTCAATTAGATGGGCGTAGTGGAGAGGAGTTGGTAAGGCTGGCTTGCTATTAATTCGCCTTAATTAATGTTCTCCTAATTCTCCCAATTTGGCCTAATCTTGGTCTTCAGCCATACACATACGTACGAACTACGAACCTAAAGAAGAGGATGGATGAAACACATTATGAATGCGTGTTTCGTGCAAGCTTAAAATTATGGGGAAGCCTTTAAAATTTGCTGTCTATTTTGTGTGCTGAATTTGGTGGTTCAGTGTTACAAAGGGATTCATACCTAATCTGGAAAGCTGGCTAGATAGGAGGTGCAAGATGAGTTCTGTAAGGCTGCCTACGAAATATTTCGAAACTCACTACTTCTTCCTAATTGTGTGATTGTGTTCTGATATAACATTGTTGATATATATGACGTTTCTAATCTTAGTATTTTCTTCCCACTAAAACAAATCAATCGTGACACCAAATTGAGATCCACGACACACAATTCTACTACTCTTCCGCTCTTCTGTTGGGTGCTTGTGTTTATGTCGATACTCAATTGCATTTTGTACTAAAATTAACCAAACCATAATTGCAAGCTGATTTAGCTTAGATGAACTGACCCCTAGGATAGAAGTTCGAACCCTAGCTTACAAACTAAGACTTGGTATACTTTTTCATACAAGAATCAAATTACTCTTCATAAAATAACCGTATGAGCTGACTTCAGTTTGTTTGCATTTTCACTCGCGATTTTTAGTAATTGAATCAACATGATAACTATTACTAAACTATATTATTCACATCGACCAATATACTGAAACAGAATGAAATGCGAACCAGCCGAACCTTCTAGTGAACTTGCAACTCAATTTGTTGGCCCTAGATATGAATACTTACTAATGTTGATGGATTGTTCATTCTACAATCCTCTCTTATTAGATGCATATGGCGTGACAATTATTGTAAATAACGTCTTGGTACGCATCAAGAGCGGAGAAGTGAGAACCACAAATTGGACGATGTCAAGGAAAATGACTTCTCCCTATTCAGTTTTACGGCGATTTCCACGCAGAAATTCGTCCCATTTGGAGTGAAGAAGAAGGGGAAGAAGGAAAAAAGAAGAAAAGAAAAAAGCGGCAGGAAAATAATAAATAAAAAAATGGGAACACGTGTACCTTCTTCCTTGGAGAGTCGGACAGCTTCGGCGAGAACGACCGAATCACAGTCAACCTCGGCGTCCTGGCCGGCGGCACGACGGACATCGGCGACCGCGGCGACGACGAGCCTTTGTAGTCTTCGGAAACCGCCTCGAGCATCTCGTCGGAGAGCGAAGAAAGGCTGGAAACCGACGACAGGTACTCCGCCACCGACTCCGTCTCGCCGCCGATCACCGCCTCCACGTCCCACATGATCCACTTCTGGGTGGCGCCGGTGTGCGGGTCGTCGTGGGTCACCGAGTTCCTCCACGGCGGCGTGCCGCCGTTCCCCCTCAGGTACTTCCCGCACCAGCTCTGGAGCCTGACCTGGAACCCGTCCCTCACGGGGCGCCACTCCAGGCAGGCGGCGGCGGCGGCGGTCGTCTTTTGGTCCGGCGGCGGAGCGGGTGCCTGGACGACCTTGCAGCCGGTGACGCCGAGGAGGAAGGGGGCGTCGGAGGCGGAGAGGTAGGTGCCGAAGGAGCTGCGGAGGCGGATGAGTGGTGCGCCGCCGGCGCCGTCGTGGTCTTGGAGGAGCTCGACGAACCAGGTGGCGCGGCGGGAGGAGGCGGAGGAGCGGGTCTGGCGGACGGTGTGGCGGTCGTCGTCGGCGAGGAGGTACTTGTCGAGGTGGCTCCGGAGCTTGACGGCCTTGGTTTTGGTGAAGAACTCCATAGTTGTCTCAATTGTGTGATCAGCTTTGGGAGAGAGCTAATGTGTGGAAAGTGAAAGATTTTGCCTATGTTTATATAATTATGGAGATTAATTAATCTACTCGAAGGTTTAATTATTGTAATTAATTGAATTTGTAAAAGGGAGATGTGTCTGTACTTGTATGTATTGGGGTGAAAGAAAGGGGGTTTTGTTGCTTAGTAAGGAAGGGTCTGTTTGGAGGAAGAAGGTCGGAAATTACTGTTATGGGCTTCTGTTTTCCTTGGGGAAAGGTTGGATGATTTTCAACTCTTCTGGACTGAGGAAAAGTAGGAGGGACTGGGGGTTGGAATAATAAATTTTAATTATACATATAATTCCATTATTATTATTATTATTATTATTATTATTATTTATTATTATTTATTATTATTATATCATGATGGAAACAGCCATATTCTTACAGGTATTGTACGTTTGACAATGTGGTTTGTTGAAGTACACCCGGATATATATAATAATTTCGACAAATACATTCAACAGTATGCAAAGTATGTAGTATGCGATTGCATCTAGAATGTAACGCCAAAAGTTTCGTGGGTTTCTAAGGGTATAAACGTAGTTGACTGATTTTATAAAAATCCAGGTGTTTACACCTAAAACTAATTTTGGGTTCAATATCACGTAGTTTGGAGTAGTAAACTGGTTTTAAATGGACCAATCCAATAAGCCCGGATAATTTTGCATGTTCCCTCAATCACCTATTACAGCATAACTATAATAAAACACAATAACAAACAAACGATATTACATTACATACACCAATATATAGAAAACAGGTAATCTAAAAAGAGAAACAAAGCGGATGAACTTGGACATGTCACAAATCGAAGTGCAGGAGGGCCTGTTAGGAATCAATTTCGAAGCCGTCGTTACGCATAGCTATCATTGTCTTGCTCTTCTTTACCGAACTCCATGTGAAACACGACATCATAACAAAATTATATCAAAACAAAACCACATAAAAGGTGGATTGGGTATCACTAAACACATTGCAGGTGTCAGGAACTGATAGGAAATAATCGGATTGAAGGCGTGATTAATCACTCTCCTTAGAGTGTTATTTGCCCCCACTACAAATTGCTGGTAGGCTCGAGCAAACCACCCCCAGGAGTCCCTTCAATTTTAAGTCTGGAAGAAGCAATCTTGCAGACTTCTGTGTTTATGAAATAGAGAAGGAAAACGAGTAGAAGAAGTAATCTCACGTTATCAAAAGAGTTATGGCAATCATCTATTTATAGTTGTGAAAACTGGAAGTTACCTTCCGAAAAGTCACATCCTTTCACAAAACAAGGTAGTTACCTCTCCCGAAAGGACACATCCTTTCACAGAAAGGGGAAGTTACCTTTCTAGAAGGACACTTCTTTTCACAATATTCAAACGCTAACTAATTAATATAAAAATTAATTAATTAATTAAACTGCCAAAAGACTCCATCTTTATACTTTACTTCTCCCATCAATGTCGTATTACAACTCCATTGACTAACTCTAACAATCCCTCACTTAGTCAACAAGAGTTGAGAATACCTGCCTCGAACAAGTAACGCATACATAAAGGTATCTTTTCGATTTGAACCTTTACCTAGTGTAAACAACTCAAAGTTGATAACGAATCAGTGACGAGCTTAAGCCTAGGAGTCACGATCCAAAGCTATAACCAGAGATGCCACACACGTACTTGTCTCTTCTCTAAACCACAATCACCAACTAGGGTAGCACTATTATGGCTATGTGTTAATCCTGTTTCATGAGCATACACAAAAGTTGACCTCTACTTTTGTTAGAGCGGCACCACTCTAAATGCTCACATAGGTGACATTCCAAATGAATTCATTAAGAGTTCTATAACTCATCTTAAGAGTTCTATAACTCACCCTTCTTTGGACTAATTTACTTGTACGATAAATTAGCGCCTCTGTTAGAGTAACTTGTTATTACCACATTGAACCTTTTAATTAGTGAATACCTAAAGAAAAGGTTGGGTTCCCGTTACTTCTAACTACACAAAAGGTCTTAATCTCATCCATTGGGATGTCTCATAGATCATGCCTCTTGGCTATCCCATGGCAAGAGGATCTGCTAAATTAATGCTTGATCTTACATACACAATAGAAATGATTACATTAATAATCAAATATCTAACGTAACCATGTCTTAGGCTTATATGTCTAGACTTACCATTGTAAATCTTGTTATAAGTTTTAGACAAAGTAGCCTCACTATCACAATAGACAGAAATGGCTAACATCGGTTGTGGCCACAACTCTTTATCTAACAATATGTTTCTTAACCATCTGCCCTTTTCCCGCCGCCCGAAGGGCTAGAAATTCATCTTCCATAGTGGAGTGTGTAACACACTTTTGTTTCTTCGAAACCCAAGAAACAACTCCATCACCTAGTGTAATATCCACCATTTGCAGATTTATTTTCACTAGAACTTGCTATCCAACTAGCATCAAAACCATCTCCCCCACAATTCTTCCACTTGCCGAACTATCATGGAATAATTCCTTTTTATTTTCCATGGTATTACTTATTGAGCTTTCAACCACTAGATTGATCTAATTGTTTACCAATGATATGAACTAATTAGATTAGTATACCACAAACAATTCAGATATTATTAGAAATATCATCTAATTACTTACTAATGGAATTGGTCAAGGTAACTTGAGATGCCACAAGTAATTCAGTTGCATTTCCAGATTGTATTAGAAATACCATCTAATTACTTACCAATGATATTTCACGAAGTTAACTTGACATACCACAAGCAATTCAAATGACTATTCTAATTCAATCTTCTAATTATTTTCCAATGGTATAAATTCACACACATACCATAAGTAATTCAGAATTTAAGTTCAATAAGATCCTCTCAATTAGTTCTCAAGCCAAATTGTTTGCCAATGGTATATGTCTATATATACAATAAACAATTCTGGCAATGATTATTTTGATAATCATCCTTCTTTGGCAAGCTTATTCAATCCTTATAAGGACCCATCTTAGTTTCATTTTTCCTTTCCCTCATGGCATATGAAACATGACATCATGAACCAATACATGATAAACAAATTACCATGTCGGGGAATGCTTTTCACCATTATTTCAATATGCTTCAATTGCACAACTCAAACAATCTTGTTACATAAACCAAATTGTTTCATCTTGCAAGCATCAAAATTGAAACTCATACAAATTTTGGTGACAAAATTTGTTTCAAGAATTCAACGTGAATTCTTCCAAATTCAAACAAGTTGAATTTCTCCAAACTCTTCTCGTGAATTATGAGTTTGTTCCATCTCATCTCAAATACTACAAAAGTATTTTATTTCATTAACCAAATGGAATTGGTTAACCATTTTTTTCTTTGCAATCACATATGTTAAACCAAGAACATGAAAATTACAAAACCATGTACGTATCAAGAGGCATTATGAAAATAACCAATTTCGGTACATCATCATCTCTAGGCAGAATATAAACAAACACCGAGTAATATTCTAAAACTGTTCTTAGCATGCACAACTATTGGCTGCTTTAATTGCACCGTTAACCCATGCATATGTGCAACGAAACTTATGACCAAAAGATCCATCAAAAATTATATCAATCGTGGGGGTATCATGTCTGTCACTATTGGAAGCTACATGATGCATACGTAGAGGATCACAATGCATGGACAATTACAATTAACAGAATAATCGCCATCACATATATAAATGAAAGGCCTGGTTATAAGGAACCGATCATTCTTTTGTCAGAGTCGAATTCAATATAACCAGAAGATTGAACACACGGATAATGATAAACAATCAAATTCTATGATTCAATTTCCCTTTTGAATGCAGCCAGCAATTAGGTGCAAATTACACCAAAAGTTATAGGAACAGGTACCTATTTTTCCGATGACTATCGAATGCGACCTTTTCCTCTTCGGAACCAAAGGGGAAAAATTAACACCAATTGCTGCTTTCCCGATGACTCGAGACTCGAGTGCCACTTTTCTTCTTCTCCTCTTCGGAACCAACCATTTTTACAATGATGTTCGACTGTCACTTTCCTCGTTCAGGAAACAGCCTTTCGGGTGTACCAGTATCTCAAACTCCTGATCACAGTAAAACATCGAGAACCACACTTTTTCGAATCAGAAGCATACGCCTTCAACGTACTCTCCACTCCAAACTCCATTTTTCCAATAGCAAAATAACACTCTAAGATTGTCAGGAACTGATAGGAAATAATCGGATTGAAGGCATGATTAATCATTCTCCTTAGAGTGTTATTTGCCCCCACTACAAATTGCTGGTAGGCTCGAGCAAACCACCCCCCAGGAGTCCCTTCAATTTTAAGTCTAGAAGCAACAATCTTGCATACTTCTTTGTTTATGAAATAGAGAAGGAAAACGGGTAGAAGAAGTAATCTCACGTTATCAAAAGAGTTATGGCAATCATCTGTTTATAGTTGTGAAAACTGGAAGTTACCTTCCGAAAAGTCACATCCTTTCACAAAACAAGGTAGTTACCTCTCCCGAAAGGACACATCCTTTCACAGAAAAGGGAAGTTACCTTTCTAGAAGGACACTTCTTTTCACAATATTCAAACGCTAACTAATTAATATAAAAATTAATTAATTAATTAAACTGCCAAAAGACTCCATCTTTATACTTTACTTCTCTCATCAATGTCGTATTACAACTCTATTGACTAACTCTAACAACAGGCTGGTGAAGGGAAACTCACTTGAAATTGAGAACAAAAATGAAGCAACTCTGGGAGATCCTTCAATCGTTCTCCTTCTCCATGGGTGTCACCGACGATAGGCCAAAACCTAGAAAGAAAGAGCACGAAAGGGCTAGAGAACCATAAAACAAATGAGGTAATTTTCACTACTTAGTAGCAAAACAACATGCTTAGAGTCGCATATAGAAGGCTTAGAGCAAAATCAATCAGTCCAATCAAAGAAAAAGCAATCATCTTTAAGGAGAACAAACAACTTTTGTGTCTGAAAGTCTGAAACCAAGATAAAGGACAGGAAAGCACCAGAAAACCAATGGTCAACTTGCATTTTAGGCAAAAAAAACCTATAGAGTGGTACTCATCTGAATGGAAATTCCTTGCAATGATTTCACTCCACAACAGAGCTAATTGGTCTGATTTTGAACATATATTTTGAAACGAAGAAAACACATAGAAGCACAATTTCAAATGGATTATAATCGCAAAGCTATCAATACAACTGGAGCGAATCTGTGAAAGACTTATCAATGCCGCATCAATTTCCTATCAAGATCATCCTTGCCTCTGAGACCAAGTTGTAAAACTCATCTTAGATAAATGAAAAGACAAACTCACAGACGGAGAATTGTATCATCTCACTAATGTTGTAACTTAGCTAGAAAAATGTATGAACACTTAGGATTGAAATCTTCATCAATTTGGATGGTCGATTTTCTACTGAACCTGAGATTGGAAGTACTTATATGCTCTAAGTTGTGACATATTTCTTTGATGGTCGGACAAAAACTCCTAACCAAACACCATTCCTCTGTCATGTTAGACCACATTCTCTTTTAAACCTAACATCATTACATTATCAAATGGCAAAAACCGGATACCGGTTGCATGGGTTTAAATTTGTACAATAAAAATTTAAAAGTATCGTTGTTCTTCTATTAAGAATATGATGATCATTGAGAACAATTACATCACTAAATTGATCTTTCTGTCTCCACACAGATAAAGAGAATTGAGAGTAGATATTTTTATCATGGAAGCAACTAGTTGATAGTCTATTGCATGTAATTACAAAGTATTCTCGCAAACTTATTAAATAGAGACTTCACCATGGCGCCAGCCTCGAGCTCCTCAACTTCGTTGGCAACCCTAATTCATAGTGATCACCGGACAGTTCCACCTCAAGCATATCAACTGAAGACAGAGAGCGAAGAATCTGTCGCCGTCTCCCCATCATCTCGGCCACCACCACCTCTACGGTCTACAAAATGTTGAGGAAATTGTTCACGTATACTATTTTTTTTGCAACACAAGCAAACATATAAGATTAAGAAAACATGCAAAGACACATGCAAGCGTCCTAGCCAATAGAATTCACTATCTCTCCTTAAAGAATCTTATTCCCCTCTAGTACCCAAGGTTATGGAATGATTCTTCCCATGATAGAAAGGACGTACCTTTTCCGGCGTAGCGGTACCTCAAACCCCGGAACCCATCAAACGCAGCGAACCGGCGAGAACCACACTTGACTCTATTGTCTCTTTGAAAAGAATGTAGAAAACTAGTTTTGGACTTTGGCAGAATTTTCGTACAGGAAAAATTTCGTGTAAAAACCAAAGGGGGTTAAGTGCTATTTATAGAAAATGAAGGGGTGCTTACGAAGGGAGGCAACTCTTCGTATGGGTGGTTACACCCCAACCAACACATTGGTTCGTTTTAAAAAAAATGAACCATTGCATCGGTTCGGCTCATGGTAGTTGGACTGGTTTGGTTATTCCAACCGCCATATCGGTTCGGTTCGATTTGGTTCAACTCGATTTGTTTTGGTTCGTTTGGTACACAAACCAATTTAACCGATTAACCACATATTATATCAAATCGATCGAATTCAAAATCGTGCCTTCTCACATCTTACCACCATGGTACTTCAAGAGACTCTCTTGAAACTTTCCCCTTATATTTCCATTCACACCACTAAAAACCCAACACAAAATCCACTTATGCATCATGGGCTGGTTCTCGGGAACTTCCTACTCCAGCAGCTCTGTTTGTCCGACTCGACCAGGATGTATTTGTCCAAGTGGCTCTGGAGCTTCACTGCCTTACGTTTTCGGGAATAAGTTACAAGTCCATTGAACAGTGAATTTGGATAAATGTCACATAGGGGTGGGTATCGGTGCGGTTTGGACCGCATCGCACCGCATTGATATAAACCGCACCGCACCGCATCTTAATCGAGCCGCACCGCATTTCGACCGCTAAGTTATCGGTGCGGTCAAATCAAACCGCATAAATTAACGGTTTGATACGGTTTAAACCGCACCGCATCTAGACCGCAATTCATTACGGTTTGTACATAATTAAATAAAACTCAAACCCACCCAACTGAAATTAAGTTCCAGAGAGTAGCTCTCCATTAACATCTCATTACGAAAGAGAAAGACTGTTAATGTGGGTAACATAGCATAAGCAAAAGTTAAGTATAGACTGATGACTCACCATTTCTAGAGTAATCTAAAGAGCTGATGTAGTGGTAATTGCCTCTAAATTTTGTGAAACCAGTACACTAAAACCTATTTGGTGCACTTCACTCACAATTACACAGAAACCAACTAAGTCAAGAAAGCATGAATTGCAACTCTAGAGAAGAAAGACCTGGAAACCGCAGCATAAAAATGGTGATGGAGAAGAAAGAGCTTTACCAATTTCAATTAGGCTTACTGGTTTCTATCCTGTCTCTTCCAGTACTCTTTTGTAGTGCCTACAGTTCCAAACGTTCTTGATAAGCAAAGAGACAATGCAGCATAAAAATGGCGATGGAGAAGAAAGAGCTTGACCAATTTCAATTGAGTGCGACCCTGGATTTGAAGAGGGCAAAGAGCTTGACGGACGACGATCTCGATGAGCTGAAAGGGTGTTTGGATCTTGGATTCGGTGGGTTTAGCTACGACGAGATCCCCGAGCTTTGCAATTCGTTGCCGGCTCTCGAGCTTTGTTACTCCATGAGCCAGAAGTTTCTTGATGATACTGCGCAGAAATCTTCTTCTGCTGCCGAGGGAATGGATTCTTCTTCTGACGGAGTTGCTGCTTCGGATCAGGCTGCGAGCAGAGACGGCCGATTGCTGTTGTTGCTGAGGCTGTGGAATCGGCGTCGACTGGGCGGCCGACGGGAACGGAGACTGGATCGGCGGAAACGGCTGGAACAGAGTGTTCGCAGACGAGGCCGCTGCTGCGGTAGCGGAAACCGACGGGGAGATCGCCGACTGGTCGAAGCCGACGGCGGAAGCAGCTCGCGAGGTGCAGAGGCGTACTAAATCAGATTGTGGTTTCAACTTCTCACTTCTGCGTACTCAATCTTAGCGGATTGTGGTTTCAAACCGCAACCGCGCGGTTTGGGTCAATCTGAACCGTAAACCGCCAAGCACTTAACGATTAGACCGCAAATGAAACCGTTAGTTTAATGATGCGGTTTGGATTGACCGCATAAGCGGTTTGGGGCGATTTGGAGCGGTTTGGTCAAACCAATACCCACCCCTAATGTCACATATGAATTAGCGAGGAGCGCATGAGAGCTTGGCTTAGGTGAGGTTATTGCTATCTTATTTTTTTGCATTCAATCATCATAACCATTTTTCTTTTAAAAAAAAAACTATTTCATGAACTATTATTACATAAGATTTGTTGTAAATAAATGCAAATAAAAGTTATTGTTTCCTAAGAGCTTGGTTTAGATGAGGTTGTTGCTATCTTATTTTTGTGCATTCAATCATGATAATAATAAAATCCATCTTGGTTGAATCCTAAACCATTTCGGTTTAACGAGGAACCCAATGAGTTTCAACCATAAATTGAAAGGTCGACAGAAATAGAGAGCAAAAAAGCAGTAGAGAAACAAATGTCAGATAATGTCACTGAAAAGCACAAGGAAACCACTTCGGGTTTGCCTGTGCATCAGCTTTCAGCTTCTGTATCTCCAACAACAGAAAAGTTGAAGAACGAGGAACTTATAAATTATAATATTCCGAATTCAGGAAAAGGCGCAAGATTTAGAGTAGGTTGGAGGGAAGAAATTAGTTAGAATATAAATAGCGCCTAATTGGTATAATGGGTCCAGTTGGGAGTGGGAAGGTCTATTGTAAATTTTCTACGGACCACACGCATCACCGTCCGCTTCATCCTGACTCTCCATCTCGACCGTTAGTTTCCCATCGACCCCTAGCCCCGTCTTTTCACCGATCTCCCTACATCGATGCGATGGCGGCTAGGCAAGTCTCTGCGTTGCACCACACGGCCCAACGGCGGGAGAAGCATCCGTCAAGTGGTGATTTTTGGCGTCCGCCGAGATCTACTGTTGCTTACACCGGCTGTCCTCTGATAGCCAAGAAACACTCTTCCTTTCTCCTTTTTCTTCTTCATTCAACGCTAACAGTTAATATCTTGGGATTAAAGAAGGAGGGCTTTAATAGGAACATGGCCGAACCCGTCGATTTCATGGCGGTGGAATCCTAGCCCTTCATACCCTCTAGACCGATCCTCTGGCTATCCAAGGTAATCATCTAAAACCCTTTTGTCTGTCGCTAAATGAATTGCTTATCGGAAAATAATCCGCAACAAACATGATGATGACCCAGCTTTAGTTAATCGTTTGGTCCTCCTGCTATTTGGATTTTCAGTTACCAGTAATGTCTATACAGATCACCATTTTGCAATTCTTTCTTTCTGGAATGTGCCAATTGAATGGTAGTTATTTGCTTGCATTGACCACCGCAGGCAAAAATTTAGCTGCTGCAACTTTTTACATACTAATTCAAGCTATTGTTGATATTTTGTCTGAATTTAATTCCAATGTTATCCCCTGGAATCTCTATCATAGATGATGAGGCTGTCTCCCCTATTGGTATTGTTATGCTCTGTAAGTGATTATACTTGAACATTAGATAGTTGTTTTCCTCTATAGCGATTTGAGTTATTTTCACCTACCAACGTATAAATATAATACAGAAATTGGAATGTTGAAGAAGTCACAAGGTGAAAGAAGCAACGAAGTTTCTTATAATCAGTTGGATGTTAAACAAAAATAGCACCGGAAATTCAACCGAGGGGAAGAATTTAAGTGGTCATGGATAACTTGGTGAAGTTCTCATGTTGGTATTAAAACTCTTTGTATATTGCGTAGAGTATGAAGCCAATAGATATGTGTCTGATTGTTAAAATGCACTATGATAACATATGTGACAAGGTAAACGGAAGAAAACTGAGTATGTTCTTATCTGTTAGATCATATGTGGCATACATATGTGTCAGAAGCAATAAAAAAAAACATACACACTTGAGTTGGTGTTTGTGGCAAAGATATTCAGATTTGAACTTTAACTATTTATGTCGTCTGAACTATGCAAAAAAAAAAAAAAAATTGTATGCGCTAAATCGTAACTTTTTTTACCGACTGTGCCATGTATATAATTCAAAAATCAACACATGAGAACACTTATTCATGGATCGATTGATGTCAAATATGCCTCTAACTAATATTACCCGCATTAGCAAACTAAGAATCATCAGGCTCTCAGGGTATCATACAAAATAATAACTTGAAGTTCAAGAAACAAGACATCACCAGAAAATTGGTTCTATAAATTGATTCGTGGGTCCTAAATTACAATCCTTTAAATCGGGATTGAACATATATTTATGTTCAGCGAAATCGACATACCCGCTGCAAAGCACGGGCCATTTAGCTAGTATATATATATATATGGTGCACAGTACATACACGTCTTTTACGTACAAAACAATGCATAATACATACCGCATAGTAACATGCACATTTAACACGTGTGCATAGTACTATACAAATGCATAGTACTATATGTGTATTCCACATGTGTGAATAGTGCATAGTATATATTGCATAGTACCATTTTTCATCACTATAATAATAGAGGGAGTTTATTTGAAACTAGTGGCATAGAATGGTCAAGTTCTAAAAGATAATCACCAAATGATAATGGAAAACCTTCGCATTGTGGAGAAGGCTATGGTCGCTGCTCATCGGGTAAATTCTCAAACGAATTGTGTCAACTCTCGTGTAGGTTGACATTTTGGTCAACTGTTGAAAGTGGTTAACAAAAACAAAAACAATTTTGATGAATTTATAAGATTTTTAAGCACACCATTTGTTCAAGCTAGAGTTTTTACATTAGATGGCATGGTCCCAACTCCAAATAATACCTCATGAAATAGAAAATTATCACCATTGCAAGATAACTTCTCACCTCCAATAAAAAACAAACCAATTTCTCACCGCTTGAATCGCGAAGATATTCGTGGCACTACTCAAGTGGAGGGGTCACTCAATGTGAAAGTTGAAGAACTACCCCTAAGTGCTAGTGGCAAGGCCCAATACTGTGCATGCTCACTTGAGAAGATGAGTATGTTTAGGTGGTGGATCAAGTTCCTCCAAGAGAATACATTATACCCATGCACCTTTGTAATTCAACAAAAACTTCTCATCGAGTAATTCAGCATGAGAGTAAGACCCATCATGACTATGTGTACTTGAAACCTTATATGAGTGGGTGCATATGCTCTATCCATTTTTAATAGGTTTCACATTATCCGAGTTTGTTACTCTCACTAGAATTGAGGATAAGTCTACTGTAGAGCACAATGGACATTTCATTGTCCAATTTTGAGATGCAGGGTTCAATTGTATGAGGATTTTGGACGAGATATTTATGCACAATCCCTCATTATGTAGGATTTGGATAAAATACCGTGTTTGGGGAATGAGAGGTTTCAAAATTAGTAATTTTAAAAGTGGAAAAAGAAAATTGGATTGACAAATAATACTTCTTAAGTTAAATCATAAAGATTAATAATTTATTGTAGCTTGGAACTTTGTTTCAAAAAGACAACTATCCTCCAATCATTTGTATATGGCGTACTAATTTTTTTTATTATTAATTGATAGATATGGCCGGACTTTTGTCACCATTAATCTACTTTAATTAGAAATTTATTTTTTCTCAAAGTTAAAAAATGTGTAGTAAATATGTTTTTGACATTTGTTCTTTTTCAATATGTTTAGACAATAATTTTTCTCAAACTTAAAAAAATGAGTTTTAAAACTTCCAAAATTGAAAGTTTATGAACGAAGACAATATGTGAGTATTATTTAGATAACTTTGAATGTTAACTAGTCATATGGAAAATAGAATTCAAATAAACGCTAGCAATCACTTTTGTGCTAGAAAACTTTCTTTATCCTTTCAAAAAGATCATAACAAATTATTACTCATTCTTTTTTGTACTTAATAGAATTTTCTATATCTTCTTTGATGGTGTAAGATTTTTCTGTGTTCTAACACACAATGAGTGTTTACAATTCACCTTTGACATCAATCTTATTAGACTCTTGATAAAATTAGTTATCTAAATATCCATAGCACATTAACTAAATAATTACTAAGGTAATTTCTACTGCTTAACAATACAACAAATCATTTTCATTAACGAGGAAAAAGAATAAAGATTTTTCAAATCTTAAAAAAATATTTGTAGATTTTACATTTAATGTTTAGAAAATTTAATCAATGATCCTAGATGATTTGGGGAAAAGAACATCGTGGATTTGAAGATTGTTCAAATACTAAGATGTTATAAATCATTTAGTATTCAAATCAATTCTCCCAATCAATCTGCTTGTATGATATACAAAAATTCGAGATAGTTCTTTTGGCTTTCTTTAGAGAGCGAGAGTGAACGCTTGTTTCAGTTTGTCACATTCTTTAGTTCCATTTCTTTCCTTCTCTCTCCCTTGCCTTTCCTCTACCATGAGTGTCAACCAGGATAACAAAGACCAAGACCAAGATAGAGATGGACATGCCAGTAAGAAAAACCCATTGATTGAAAAAATTCAAGTCAATCTTGAGCGATTCATCAAGGTTGACATGGAGTCTAAAAACATTAACTGGCTCTTTCTACCAAGCATATGGAGATGAAGCATTTGATGCAACATAATCTTACACTGATCGCAGAGCTGATTGTCAGTGTTATCATGGAAATTATTGAAGAACTAGGAGGGGGATAGACTAACCCAATCGTTGAATTGAGGTTCAAACTTTAAGAGTGGAGTACAAGAGCGTATGATAGGCTTTGGAATGGATTTAAGAGGGAATACAGTGAGGATTCATCAAGATCAAGATGGCTTCCTCAAATGGGGTACGAAGAAGGTCATGGAAGACGTGCTCCACGAAGTTGACTGGAACCATGTCGATGTATGTTTCCACTCGTACTGCCATGGAATGCAAAGCACGTATGAGGTATTAGTGGGCCCTGCAGAATCTTGTAAAGATTTTGAGGCAAAGGACTGAATCAGAAGACAAGTAGTTGATGCATCTGATCCGACAACAAAGCACAGACGTAAATTGCCTCTATATTGTGTCATCGCTGGGGCTAAACCGAAGTGTAGGGGAGTGCTATCAACGCTGCCTTATGATCCTCAAGAAGGAAGAAGTTGAACAGCCGAGAGTTGATTGAAGCCAAGCAGAAGAGAACCGACTATTAATGTTGGTCGAAAATGAACGGAGACTTGATTGGGCAAGGATTGCATCGTTTCTAGGGACAAATCAGGCTGAAAAAGAGTGCTTTGAGCACCATCAGACATTGAAGACGAAATACGAGGGAAAAGAAGAAGAAGATCTGGTGGAGGAAGGAGAAAGTGATAGGGATGAGGACGATTCCATCTGTATCATCTAAAAGCACAAAAGGATTACCTCAGTTACTTTCTTTATTCAACTGTTCGTAATAGTGACATTTTTGTAATAAAGCCGCTTCTTTGGGGTGGAAACGTAATATGACGAGACCGGTTGATGATTAAAGTAGATACGATTGGGGACGTAGATTTATATGTTCTTTGTCGTCTCCTATCTCTTTCTTTTTATCAATTCTTGATTATATGAATCACCATCGTCGGCGAGCGGTCGGTGGAACTCGTCGACCGACGAGATTTTTAGTTTTTGGCTTTATGTTCATTCCAATGCCTAAATGGTGTGCTATACTTCTTCCTCGTGTCTCAAGGTTTGAAAGCTGAACTGTTTTTATCATTATTTGTACTAGTTTCTTACCCATACGTTGGGTCGTTTAATTTGTGTGATTATTTAGTTATGTATGTTTTTTAATGTGGTTGTTTGTGTTATGCCAGTTTTTGTTTTTTTATGTTTGTCAAGTCTTCCTTCTCCATCCCATTTCATCCTTGGATTCATGCACATTTAAGTCTTAAATGGTGACACATATGTTTATATTGATGAAGCAAAGGATGTTGCAGTGACATTAAACTCGAATGGTAGATACTAATCCGCTTTAGTTTGGTGCTCTGGTGTTCAACAATAATGTCTTGCTCATAAGTCGTTTGTCTCGCGTCATTGACCATAAGAGTTGTTACTTCATCATCAAACAGAAGATTATTTTCTCGACCATCTGATTTTTTATTGGCCAATAGTTTCAAATTTAGATGTTGTACATTGCCTGCATTGAATTAGTCTTTGGCATATCTGGAAGTTTGAGCCAATATGTTCCGCTCGTCGAGCATATCCTTCAACCTAGTCACAACAACTTATTGTAGAGGATTTAAATCATCGTTTGTAACAATTGAATGGAGCCAGTTTTCATCTTCTTTCTCAATTTGGTGAATGTATAATTGTGCAAAGTTAGGAGTAGAGCCAACAGGTGGTAGTAGACTGCTAATCGATGATAAATTTGTCGCTCTATGAAAATAGTCAAAGACATATGATCCCCGCCCATCAATAAAACTATGATCTATCTTGCGGCCCATAGTACTTAATCAAAAGGCACCATTATAAAGTTTGGTGCATTCCAAAAGTGTTTCACAACTTCACTGAAACACCCTAACCCGGCCGGGTACTACTTTTACTAAAATGCCATTGATAAATAAAATACTCAAATCTTAAATTGCAGCGGGAAAAATTTTCATAAATAAAATACTGAAAACACACACTTGTAGCTCAGAGTAAAGCCCTAACACGTGGGCAAATTAAACTCAAACTTGAAATCTCAAACTGATCTCCAGTCTATACTCATAATCATATAACGTAATAACTAACTAGTCTCAACTACTGTTGCTGCTCATAGGAGACTCTGACTGGACATCCTCCAAGACACTCATGTCGTTCTCCTCTAGATGGCTGCCCTCAAACTCGCTGCCCTCTACTGCTCCTCTAGCTCCTCCTCTAACTCTTCAAACTGGTGAGTGAGTTGGGGTCAGTCTACGCCCTTACGTTTTTAACTTTCTAATAATTTTGCACTTCTTCTCAAACACTTAAACTCAAACTGAGGGAATTTGTTTGTACTTCCATTCTTAAAAATCTTAACTCTTAAAACTGTATGGGAGTAACTGTTACTCTCCATTCTTAAAGCTCAAATCTCAACTTAAATACTTGACTAACACTAGGATCCCTCACTAGCTAGTCCGGTTGCCAACTCATACGTATGAGAAGCCATTCAGGCTTTCCTTAAACTTAAACTTAGTTAGGGAAGTCGTAACGATTCATCCCCCTAACATCTTAAACTTATCGTGGTGGCTCTTCACCACGATTCTCAAGGGCATAACTGTTGCCCATCTCAAAAGTCTCAAGAGCATCACTGCTGCTCTATCTCAAAGATCTCCATAGCATAACTGCTGTTCTATCTGAAAATCTCAAATGGTAACGGACTGGCGCTAGTGACTAAAAACACTTAAAACGACTTCACCTTCTTGAAGGTGAGTTACTTCTTAAAAAGACCTTGTTTCTTACTCTTTAATAATAACTTATACTCGTAAAATTTTAAAGGTAAATAATAACTATTCACTTCAAGTCATAACTCAAACAAGGCACATATCATCAACCATAACCAGGCAATCTCAAACATGAATCAAAATACTGCACATATATCACGTAAAGCAATACTCGAAAATACTCAAGGCAATTACTTAAAAAAAAATCGTAAGGCGTAGAATTTACTCTCTTTACACTCACCTTATTTTAAAGTCGATTGACTTGAGTTACCCTTCAATGTGCTATGCAAACCAATGTGAAGAATTCTTATTTGATTTTCTTCCTTGAGGCCATTTGACATGGGTTATTCTCCCCAGGACACATGCACACGTAAAAGCCATGAATTAGAATTCATCCATATAGCTTTGTTTATTAATCCCTAACGTGTACCCATAAGATTCAAGCCTTCTTCACCCATCAATTTCACTCATCTAACCCCATTTAAACCTCTCACGTTATTGGAATCCAATCCTTCCCCATCGACACTACTTAGTTCACTACCGTTGATCGTAGAGATTTCTCCGGAAGATAGGTCCACAGGAATGTTGTTGATAAAAACATCCCTCCATATGCGTCTGGTGTAGCAGCAATCAATCAGAGGTGATTAATAGTTTCTTCTTCTTTGTAACATAAGACGCACCGGTTTGCCAGCTGATACCCTTGTCTCTTCAAATTGTCCATGGTCAGAATTCTTTTATGCCAGATTAGCATATAAATCCACAAATTTTGGTGGGAATAATGTTCTTCCATACTGTAGAGGGTCGAAACTCAGCTACTCCATGAAAGCGATCTTCTACCTGCCACCTGTAAAAGGAACTAACAGAGAAAGACTTTTCTGTGTCCGGATTCCACACCATCCGGCAAGGGCTATGATTTATTCTAAAGGGATTAGCATTTATCACTTCAAAGAATGTGTTTCGCTCAGACTCAGCCCCACCCCGTAAAGAAAAAGAGAAAGGAATTTCCCACAATATTGACTCACCTGAGAAGGACCTAGAGTGAAGGATGTGAGCGTTTGGGAAAGTGGCAGCAGCAGCTCGCGGAAAAGACTCCGCCAGCGACTTCCCAAAGATCTAGTTGTCGTGCCAAAGAGATATTGCAGTACCCGGACCAGGATCAACACTTGCTGCTTTCCAGAACAGCTCATTGACCTTACAGATATTCGCCCAAATAAATTTAACAGAAAGTAACAACACAACATGTTTAGTTACCTTTCAATAGCCAAAATCATGTTATGGAAAAACACTTAGAATATAAAGTAATTTGTTGCCTAATCCTAGCATTTTAGTAGTGCGATTTTTGCTCTCCATAATTTGATCAAAAACTAACATTTTGCTAAGCATATCAAATGCCAATTAGTGAGCGACAAACATACAAAGGAAATTAAATTTCTTTAACGGAAAAGCATGTAGATATATAATATTATAAAGCACCTGTATCTAAATCCCACAAAGTTTGCATGATATTAGTTGTAGCTATTTTAAAGGATTTAAGAGATTGAGAAACTATGACCATTACAAGAGCTTTTTGTTTGGGCATTTCCAAGTATAGTAATACTTTTGGGCTTCCAGCAAACTAAAAGAAAAACAAAACACTCACACATTAATTAGAAAGACCATAGTATACATTTTCGTTGTTAACATATCAATTATTGTACTAATTATATTTTTAATCTCATGAAAAGTATAGGAAAAGGAATGAATTAATGGGCCAATAAATGGTACCACTATTGAAAATGATAAGATTAAAACTCAATAAGTTGAGCTATAATAATATAGGAGATGCTAACATGTGATACATGTTGCATTCAAGCCTCTTATGATAGAATTAAATCCCACAAAAAATGATAAAATGCACACTTCATTTCATCATCTTTGTTGTGTTGTTCCGTCCCAAGCCCTCCTCCCTTTGCACTCGAAGGCCAATCTCCGTTCGGCCCGAGGAAACCTTTGCACGCCTCCATTACCGGATGCGGTTCTGCACTATATGAGAAGCAATACATATTTCATTCAAGTGAGCAACGACTTAACTGTCGAGGGGGAATCGATGATCCTTCCAATGGTTCAGGTCGTGGTTGCTCTACTGTTTGGGAACATGTGTTATGTGGTTATTAACGTGTTCATGAATGACCTTAATCGCGTTCGGGTACATGGTGCCTCCTCACTCCTCGGTTGAGTTTCATATTTTATGGGGAATCCTTTTGGTTTTAACGTGTGCTGCAGGTTTATGGTATGGAGAAATTGCACAATACATTGCTTGAAAGACCCAAGACATTGAACAAGGTTTCTGATATGTCATTGCTCAATTTCTTTGGTTAATTTCAAAAGTCGGTATTTATCACTTTATGTTGTTTTTTTCACTTGCATTTGCAGATAAAATCAACAATTAGTAGCTCTGAATGAGAAATGAAATTGTAGCTTATATTTGTTTAACCTCATGTGCATAGAAATTCTGTTACATGCGGTAGTTTGATGTGGCTTGGACTTTGTTGCAGTCGTTGGGTAGTATGATGTGGAAAAATCCATACAATTTTGGGGTTGATTCGATCTGGAGTGAAGTTTCAGACTAAGGATTAGGTAAATCTCACAAGTTGTTTAATTTTTGCTTCTGTCCCTTTTACTTTTGAGTCGGTTGGACTTCGAAATTGTGTGGTCGATCTTCAGTGCGTAATGATGTGATCGGTTACGATACATTCATAGTGTGATGGCTTAAACGAGTGTATGTTGCTGCCTATTTACTCTGTCCAATCTGCTACTGATACTTTCTGATTCTTGCTTGCTTACTTTGTTCCCTTTTTATTGCATGAATGTTGGCGTGTTCTAATGATGTTGTGATATACATTATCAGAACAGGGATAAAAAAATGAAGGGGAACTCACTGGGAAGGTCAGAGGAGAGGCATAGTGCAATTGTTGGTTGGGTAGGTCTTTTCACTTTGTATTCATAACATTGTGATGACAAGTTTTAGCAGGGCTTCTTGCACAGTTCTTTCTGACCATTACAAATTATAATTTGGAAGACCTACTACTTCTGAGTCTTCTAGCATGTGATTGTCACACATAACTAATAAACTACCCTTTGGTTGGCAAATAATAATGAAGTTCTTTCTTACACTTTGGTTGGCCAGAATGTTTGCATACGTTGAAAGATAAAGTGCTAGTTGATGGACATCTTGAATTTTATAAAAGGCCATATAGTTTCTCTATTTAACCAGTCTATCTTTCACGGGGAATATTTGGTTGATCATTGTTTGTATGGCTTTGTCGAGTAGGGAGGTATAAAAAAGGATGTAGTTGGAATTAGAAGTGTGTTGAAGATGCATTCAATCGTAGTTGCCTAGCAAATTTTCATACTTTGGAATTCGGTAGCCAGTGAGGGATATCCTTGGCTGAAACACCATTTCGCTCGGTCGAGAATCTTCCTTTTTAGTGATGAACATTAGGGTTTTGTGATTGTGTGGGTGAGATTGTATCGGTTTTTATATTTTTTCTAGTTTCTCGCTTCTACTTTTATGCATAGACAATATATGGATAATTCATTTTTATTATGTTTTTATGGATAGACAATCATTGCCGAGTTAGAAGGATCACACACTAATTGTACCATTGATATAATAACATTTAGTGACGACATCATAGGCGACAGCAAGGAAGGACAACAGATCCCACACAAATGATAACCGCCGGATCAGGGCACTAAACACACGGAGGAGAAAAACAGTAAACTCTTTGCTCTTCGTACAATTTGAAAAGGTAGATTTGACAACTACCCACCATATCCCCGAACTTCTCTGCAAACCAAAAAAAAAAAACGTTCGTATTCCAACACAAAACCTTTCCCAATCTCTCTACATTTTTGCTCCTCTCCCAAACAACTCCAGATCTAAAAAAACTAACAAGAACACCAAGTCGATTAATTTCCTCAACATTTTTGAAGAATCCTCGCATATTTAAACAGTTTTCGCAACTTTAGTCATAAAGTGATCCGTTGTAGATAGAACCAACTTTACCTGGCCTTAAGGCCATGATCGTATTTCCCTATGGCCTACCTTAGAACCCTTGCTTTGAAAGCGAGGTACGGTTTTGTTAAAGAAGAGGTCAGTTTAGGAGGTTAAGATGCCTTCAGTTTTGCATAACATAAGAGTTCGGAAATTAAAGTGGTGCATAAAGTAAATCCTGATCTAACTTATGAGCGAGAGATCACAAAAGGAAGGTGTTGCATAGACAAGCTCCCCTAGATCTCATAACCACGCGCCCTCGATGATCGATAGCATACGAGCTGTTGATTTCTTATTTCATTAGATCTCACCTTGTGTCGAAGCATTTACCCGAACTAATGGGCGAGAAGGACCCTTCGGATTTCTCCCTTGAGGCATCACGTCGTTTGATAGAATAAAGGTCGATCGATTAGGACTGCTATTTCTAGTCTCATCTTAAACTAGGATTTTCGATCCTTGAACCTCGAAGGAGTGCTGATTTGTTGTAAGATCTCATTCGAATCGACGAATAACGAAATAGAGGAAATCGATAAATAACGAAATAGAGGAAATCAAGCATCAAACATATGAAAAATAAACAGTTGTATTAAACTTCGGTTATGCCATTTTCCTCATTCTCTGGTAACGACCCTAAAGCTTGGGTTATGCCATCTTTCTCTTTCTCTGGTAGCAATCGTAAAGCTTGGGTTAAAGAATGTGAAGAATATTTTTGCACACACAATGTACCTGAGGGCTAGAGGTTGGGTTCGACATCAACCAACCTTGAGGGTAATGTTATAGGGTGGTTCAGATATTGGAAAGTGGTTCGTAATGATTGTAGTTGCATGACGTTTGTTGAGGTTTTGTGTGCGCATTTCTGGGATCTTGACTAGCCCTGGGTATTTGGAGTGTTCAATAGACTTAGCCAGCAAGAACCAATAGACGAATATAAGGAGCGAAAAGTGATGAAAGTGACATTGCTTAGGCTGAAACCATCATTACCTAAGCCTACTTCATTAAGAGATTTATATGTGGATTGACTAATGAAATTTGAGTAGTGGTGAGGCAGTTTCAGCCTCAAACTCTTCATCAAGGTAAAAGCCAATAAACCCATAGTCCCAAATTTAGGAATTAAGCTAACCGTATCTTGCTTATCGCATGCTTTCGAAGGGTCCTTTAGTCGATTTTACGCTAGGTTTGCAGTGTTTATTATGCCCCATGTTTAGAAATGGCTAAATAGACAAAGGAGCGCTTTCGAGTCGATCAAACAAAGAAATGGGCGAAGGAGTGCAAGGATGGAGAAACCTCACGGGCAGGGAAGACAGGCGCACATCCACCAGCCGTGCGGCCACAAGCAAGACCATTAAAGTGTGCAGGAGTCCAGGAGCGATTTGAGACTATACAGACACGCGCACGTCCAGACCGTGCGGCGACATGAAGAGACTGTGCGGAGACGAAGTGCTACTTTGTTAGGTCGATCGCATGGACGACAAACACACACCACGACTTGATCGTGCCCACAGGCAACGCGAATGTGCAGTCGTCTCTCCAACGGTCGCGTTGTCGCACGACCGCACAGGCACACGGGGCACTGCACGGCCGTGATCGTGTGAGCGTGCGGCAGCCCGTCCAAGCTATATAAGTGTGTTTACGTGTTTCTAAGAGAGAGGAGAGAGCCATGAGAGAGAGCGAAGCATACTTTGTCTGATTTTGGAGAGAAGTGAAGAACTAGAGTGTTTTCGAGAGCAATTGGAGCTTCCCCACCTTGGAGATCTCTAATTTTTCTTGATATTCATCCAAGAGTAGCCAAGGAGCAAGGATTGCATCACCATGATGTTTGATTTTTCTTCTATAGCTCTTTCTCTCCCTTTGATCATGGTGTAGTCTTCTCTTTCACTTGGATTATTAGAACTCTAGCCTAGTAGGCTGTGGATGATATTTATGAATTCTATGTTGTGGATTATGTTGATTATTTATAGATTGTGGTCATTTTCATGCTATTGTTGGGTGTTGTCCATAGTCTCCAATTATATGCTTGTTGACCTAGGTGAGACAGTATCTTCCTAGTTAGACTCGAGCACTACCCAATCTACATTGCAACTGATTGAACGAGTTTGATATCGAGTTGTAGTGTCTAGTGGGCTTTGTCTCATTAGTGGGATTTGGTGGTGAACACCTCAATTGACTAGGTTAGATGTTGGTACGCCACACTGGATAGGTTAATTGAGTGCGGTTAGATACCCTCGCACAGGGGGTTTGATCTTGTTTTAAAGTATAAATCTATTTGAAACAACATAGAATGAAATAACCATCGTTCCAACCTTGGCTAGAGGGATACTCATTTGAGTGATACTTTTCTCCTTTTCAAACAACCTCACTTTTAGTCATTTTTCGCTTGATTAGTAGTAATAGCTTTCAAATTTGGTTAACTAGAAAACGATCGGTTCACGAAAGTAAGGGTACATTTGCCTCGTGGGTTCATAAATGAATACTTACACTGTGCTCGACTCGGTGATTATACTTGGTCACCGGACCAATAATGTGTTAGGCACAGGCCAATACACACGTTGCTATGAAAATTTACAACCAGACTACACTTGTTTGGGACAAATCACTTGATACTAAAGCGATATGCATATTATACCCTTATAATTTCAGCAATCTATGATAAATCGCTGTGACCTCAGCCATTTGTGACAGATCACTTGACACCAAAACGATCAATATAATTACATATGTAAAAAATCAAACGGCAGTAACTTTATGTTCGACTATATGATTGAAGCAATTTTTTATTTTGCATGATTTCTTAGGATCTTTGCAGGTGCAAATTATCCAACGTGGTCTTGTCAGCTTTCATCTCCAAATAAGGTTATTGACTGCCTCAAATTAGCCAGTTTGCGATTTCATGCATCTCTAATTCATTTTTCTATTTGACATAAAGTTTCAAGGCATACAACTTTATGAGGGATAAATTTTCAAAAGATGCGATGTTTTAGAATTTAAGAGCCTTTTAGAATAACTTCATATTTCTTTTTCACGTCTTCGCATATATTTTGAAAACCCTTCTATAACATGTGATGCAAAATAAATAAAAAATTACGATGATGGATGATGGAGCGCAAAGCTAAGACCATTCAAAGTTGAGCAAAATCACAAAATGAACAATTTGAGGCAGGAGAAACAACCTTACCTGGAGACGGAAGCTGATCTGACACCCTTCGAATGTTTGCGGCTAAGAAGATTTTAAATGTTACGCATATAAAAATTGCATCGTATAAAAAATTGCATCGATACCACAAAGTTATAGTCGTTTGATTTTTTATGTATTGAGGTCTCAAACGATCAATATGCAAATCGCTTTAGACTCGAGCAATCTCGCCCTAACATGTATAGTTTGAAAATTTGTTATGAAACTATTCTATTTATGGACATCAGTGATTACTAGTCTAGTATCTCTCTCGCTTCCTCCCAACAAACAGATTGTGATAAAATCATCCACATCGATGCAATTGAAAAATCAATTTCAAATGCAATGTCTATTGCCATCTTAATATTTTTTTTGTAATCAACCCCATGTAAACTCTACAAGTTCATGCAATTAATTTGCAAAGCAATTTGTGTGCCGAAACGACTTATAATAAACGAAAAATAAATAAATGGAGGTGAAAATTAGGAGATTATTGTTTGTATTTTTAAGTGAAGTGCATCTTCCATTTCATCAAATACACACTTGCATTTTTGCAAGTGGTCACGGCTCACCCCATTAATCCTAATCGAGTTCGAGTATTATACGCAAGTGGAACATGATATGAATCGAGTAATAATGGTTGGATAAGAAAAGGTGCGATTTCCTGAATATATTTATTAAGCTCTAGTTTTTGTGGTTCTTTCTGAGTTTGTGGTTTATTAGTCATTCAGTAGTACAAGAAAAGACCAATTAGGGGATGAACGATTGTTCCTCCACTCCGATGTCTAGTGCTTACCTTTCAGGTCTGTTAACGGGGTAGTCTACTCTCTAGTTGAAGACTTGAAGTAGGCAGCTTCCAGTGATGTTGCCTTGTCGGCAGCTGATGCAGCATCTTCTTCCCTACCCTCTATCCTGTAACCACTCTCCTGAATCAAGAAGCAGGACAATTAAGCAGGGCCATAAGAAAGAGAGATTAGATTTTGCAAGATTGTGATGGGCTAAATTGTGATGATATACCAGTAGGCGCCATGTGAAAGGGGTTCCATCCCGCTTCTTGATATGCTTCTCGATTGCTCCGATTGCTGCAAGCGTGGGAACAGAGTTAACAGAGACGAACTCTCACCGTTGTGTAATCCTTAAAGGGAAAGGATTTCCAACATATATACCTTTGGTTCCTTCGCCAGTATTCAGCAGTATGCTGAACCAAACTTCGTGGAACACATCAAGTTGCTCGTCAGATGCTCCAATTATCTAAACACGGAACAGCCAGGGTTTTAGATTCCCACTAGTTAACTGCAAAAGGGTAGAAACTGCAAATTCAAATGAGGAACACCTTGCAACCATTGACATCAAAATCCAGACCGAGTAGCTCCAGTGCTTGTTTGTCGTTCCCCTTGGTGTGTTCATACAAGGCTTCTGCAAGCTGCATAAACAGGAAAAGCAAGCAGTTGGATGACAGCAATATGGTAGCAGGGAAGCTAAAGGAAGCAGCTTTAAGAACAGAATGCACAAACCAGTATTGCCTTCTGCATCACTTGCTGCTTCTTCTTGTTCATCTTCGAAATTCTACTGACAATAAAATGAAATTGCAGTTGGTACATTCAATGGCTTGACAGCATATGATGTGAAAGGAAGAGCCTTTACCTGGATTTCAAGCCATTGAGTAGACCTTCTGCCTTAGAAATTTTACCAGCTTTCGTCAAGGCCCACAATATCAACACATCAAGGTGCCACTCCAAAAACCAATTTGCCTAATCAGGGTTACAAAACATAATTACCATGCCATAGAATACGATTTTATCGGATGTCCCCGAAGGGACATGCCATAGAATACAATAGTCAAACAACTAGTCAACAAAACAAAAAGATCAGTTGCCCACTTCATCTGCTACACGATCCGCCAAGACCTTGAATCGATCATCAAAGATATCATCAAGTAGTCCTCGAATAGACAAACGTAACAACAAACCTAAAGCATTTAGGTACACCTGCAATCCAAAAGGAAATAGTGCCTCAGTAGATTGAAAACGTTGGTTAAAGTGAGGAGAGAGGGAGGAGAATGCATGCATACCTCAGGGGCCATGGCATCACTTCTTTCCAACTCTTTCCAGATTCGATGATCATAGACTTCCATAACTTTCGTTATCTTAAAATTACCTTCTAGGTAACAAAGAGCAACGTGCCACCAATTATGTGTCAGCCTGCACATTCAACCAATTAAGCCTCGCATGGCAATACAATTTTTTTCTTGATCAAACAAGAAAGAATTCATAATCCTTTGTACACACATAAATGACGAACAAGGAGTCCATGAAGTGGAGCATTCTTCCATGAACTCTACTGCTTCTTTGAAACGACATTGATACTGGAAAACATGGCAGAGCTGCATTTGATCAATCAGCACACACATATGAGAGTGGGCTTACCAAATTAAACAGTTGTTTCAAAGTGACACAATCAATCAGCAAGCAAGAGAGTGGGCTTAACAACTTAGCAATTGTTCTTTCCAAGTGACACAATCAATCATTTGTTAAGAAAACGCAAATGAAAATGACAGGAGGCATACTGATTAATTGGGGACTTACAGCATGCTGTGCCCAATAATCGTTCTTGTTTATTTCATACCCCTTTCTGGCAGCATTCTCAGCTTCAGCCATCCGGCCAAGCTCCAATAACGGGAAGGCAAGCATCCCGTAAACATAATCTTCTTGCTCCGCACTTGGAAGAACCTATTGAATCATCAAAGAAGAAAACGTCTAACTGAAGGGAAATTGATTGATGATAGCTAATCACTGAATGAACAGTTCACAAGCATGAAATAACAGAAAGTGAAAGCAAACCTTTTGTACAAGGTTTAAAGACAGGTCTGGTCTAGCCATGTAGAAGCATAGTACTTGACCTCTTTTTAGAGAAACCAGGTCCTTAGGGTAGTCATTTAGAAGCTGGGAAGAAGATGATAACAAACAAATCAAGGAACTTTTGGATAGAAACGCATAAATATTACCAATTTACTAGATCCAAACCAATAGACAAAATGAGAAACTAAGAAAAGCAATTGATTGCAGAAAGGAAGAAAGTAAAATGCAACGGTACAAAACAAGAGTGGACTAATCTTAAATTGAATGCGACCCAAATGGAAAAAGACGTTCAACTTCAACTACCTTGGAATGAAGTTCAACAGCAACATCATCGTCCCTATTATCAGAAATTAGATAACTGACTGCTCCAAAAACCGCTCTCTCGTACGGAGTTGCTTGATCCTGGGTGATTACGGTTTACGACGGCATCTTGTCAACTTATCATTCAATACAAGCCGCTAAAATTCCCCAAAAAAGACAGCGACAGAGAAACAGAAGCTTACAAGTCGAGCCTTTGCTGCTTGGAGGTGGGGAGAATCAGCGGAGCCAAGGAAATGAGCGGCCAAAGTGTTGGCCAAGACACAATCTTTGTCGCATTTAGCTGCTTCCAGAATCACACGCCTCCCTCTCCCGTAGCTCAGAACCTTCACACCAATCATATTATAAATCACGCCAACAAGAACCCATATCACAATTCGCAAGTTGCAGATCAGATCAGATGACCCAAAAACATAGAAAAGAGATGGAGAACAAAGAGCAGGAGCAGCGGCGAAACCTGGTGGTAGTAAGAGTTGATGGCGGCGACACAGTCATCGGAGCAAGTCCACACCTCGTACCCCCACCTGTCGAGCTTCACTCCGCCGCCCTCCATTTTCGCTATCGTAGATGCCAAAGATCGCACCTTTGAAATGTGGGAAGTGAAAAGGGAGCAATTACATGATATGAATAGATTATTGAGGTAGTTGCAACTAAGCGGCAGAAAGTATGTTTGTACGAATCAGTCCAGACAAGATAACTATGTGTTTTATTCGATTATCTGAACTTATGATCAAGTCGGTTTCTCCCTTTGGAAAGAAGGATAAGAACTTATTTTGATCAATCAAAGCTTGATCTTTTCAAGAAGGCGTTGTCAAGTTCGGTTGTCGCTTAGCACACCGCATCCTGCTGCCTGCCAATTTGTCCTATCTACATGAAAACTTGAAGATCGAGTTTTTTGGGTTCGATTTCTGTTATAGGCTTGGGTTGGGACACTGGTGTTAACGCCGAGGCCCGTCAAACTTTAGTCCTAGTTGGAGTATGGATGGGCTCGTTTGTCGTAGCCACTAGCCCAGAGGAGTATATACATAAGACATTAGGATGGCAACATACCCATATCCACGGATTTCTATCCGACTCAATCCGGTCAAATCGAGTAAAACTAGTTTTGATGGATTACAAACCGTGTTCAGGTTTAAAATCGTTCTACTATTTTACGGGTTGGGTTGGGTTCGAGTTTAGCCATATCCAACCCGTACCCGTCTAATTTGTTATTCATAATTGAGTAGAATGAAGTTGATATTATGAAGTGGAGAGTGAAAAGGTTTAGTTGACAAGGAAGAATAAGCTTTCAATTAATTATGTACTTTATGGATGTTTATCTTTAATATTGAACAATTTGTATGGATTATTTGTGGTTTACTTGTATGCTCTAAATGGTGTTTTTTGTACGAATAATTTGTATAGTAAGATTGATGTTAGACTTTTATTTTGACATGAAGTTATTGTGCATTTATAGAACCCATTGATATTCATGAACTCGTGAATACCCAGCGGGATGGGTTAGGTTTGAATTTTCCAAACCCATTGGGTTTTACCCCTGGGGTTTTTTTGTGGATATACTCATGGATTTTGGTTTGACAAAACCCAGCTCAAACCGGCCCGTTGCCATCTCTATAAGATGTATATGCTTCTTTTTTTCATAACCAGACTCGATGTTGAACTGAAAAAGTTATTGGTTTTAAGTTCAGTAATTAATCGTTAGAATAGGTTTGGTCAATCAATAATAAATCGTTTGTACACCGTGAAATAGAATATGTATATCTAATACACAAATTTATAATTGAACTTGTCACTAATTATAAGCGATTTCAAATCTATATCATTCCTAACCAAATGTTCTAGCAAATCATTCAAACTTGATCACAAAATAAATCACCCAAAAATTTTATCAAATTTAAATGAGTATTTAAGGCAACAGTCGGTAGTGAAACAGTCATTCAGTTAAACTAGGGTTATTCATCATTTATTTTCATGTCCAATCATTAAAAATTATTTGATCCATTCATGATTATCCAAACAAATGAGCTGGATACTTCATCTTGGGTCTACGATCAAACACCACTGCAATGTAGAACAACCTATTCATTCTTGAATTCTCATCCTCCATCTCATACCAATACTTTTCTACCTTTGCATGCATTATAAGTGTCATATTCCTAACCTAGTCATCCTCATTATCCTCCATTGTCTTGAGTTGAAGAAAAATATTGAAAATCTCCCTAAAAAATAGATGAGATGTTACATATTTAGTACTAGTTACAAGTAAGGTGAATTCATGAAAATATCTTAAGTGCGAGCACAAATTTCTAGCACTCTCCCAATTTGCCTTGAGGAAATTTACCTTAAACTCCCCATCCTCCATATCGACAAATTTAAATGCCTTTTCATACACCTTTGTTGCCTCTAACATTAAGAAGGTAAAAATTCACTTAGTGCGAACATCCAAACGCATCTTCTTCCGCTCAATGCGATGGAATCTCATACACTTACTAAATTTCTCCAACCTGCTAGGAGACGCACATACCCACTCCCTATTTTGTTCCACAACTACTCCAATTTGCTCTAATCTATCAGTCACAATCAGATTGATGATATGAGCTACATAACGCATATGCAAATATGTCTCATCCTTAAAACTATTACCCCAACTCATCAATTTTTCTCCTTTAAGAAGCCAATTATAGTACCATTTGCACTTGCATTATCAATTGTGATGGAAAAATGTATTTGAAACCTCACTCCTCCAAAAGACCCACAATTGTCTCGGCAATATCAAGACTCTTGTGACTTGTAATACGACGAAAACGCATGATCTTCTTGTGTAACTTCCAATCATTTCCAACAAAATGAGTAGTCAAGCTCAGATAATTGAAATTCTGAATAGGAGTCCAACAATCTATTGTAAGGGAGACTCCACCATCACACTTGCTTTTGAAATAATTAGTTAGTCGCCTCTTCCCTTCAACAAAAAATCTGAAGCCATCTTGTCTAATACTCTTCCTACAAGGGATCTTAAACTAGGAAATACAACAAGACATTAAACCCTCATAGTTCGACAAACTTAAATGGTAGCTCATCCACAACTACCATTTGAGCTAATGCAAGTCTAATTGTACCTTGTTCATATTTCCAATTGCTTAACATTGTTGTCCTTTCACCACTTGGTTTGTGCCGCCCTCTTTCTTCTCCATGAATTTTTGTAAGAATGAAGAGCAGAAGTACCATTAACTCTTGAATTGGCAGCCAACTTACTCTTGCAAAATAGACATCTTGCCTTTATTAACTCTTTCTTCACCTTCTTCCCCTCCTTGGCAGCATTCACAAAAATGGGTTTGGATACTTGAATTAGCTCATACTCTACATTAGTGGTGCTAACCGATTTAAATGATAATTTTCTAACCGATAACCAGCTAACTGGTTAACGGTATACCGAATCGTATCAAGTGATTGTCGGATACCGACACCAAATTAAAACCGATTTACCGGTTAGCCGGTTACCGATTATTAAAATGGGTACTGGGTGGGTGCTCGTTACTTCTTTTTCCCCTTATTTCTTTAATTCTTTCAACTTCTTACTTCTTTCTCCTTCTCGATTTGAGCTTTAAGGAAAACGTCCCACTTCTCCGGTCCATCATCGACCATCGTCCCTGCTTCTCTAGTCAATTCTCATTCTTCCTTCCTCTTTGATCAGCCTTCTTCCCCTACTAGCCTTGTTCCCTCTTTTACGTCACCATCCTAGTTCAGATATGCCACAAAGAAAGGGAATCGAACGGTCTCTCAACCTCTTCTTTTTCTCGAAGTTCAAATAGAGCGGGAGAGTTCAAGCAGTGGTAACTCCTACCCAATAATTGATTTCTCGATCTTCGGCTTTGAGAACAGCGAAAATGATTTTATGATGCAGTGGTAACTCCTACCCAATAACTGATTTTTTTTTACAGTCTACCCAATAACTGATAACTGCCAGTTATTGGTACGGTTTTCGGTTATACCGTTAAGCAGGAAACTGATTACCACCCTGCATATGCACTCGTCTTTAGTGTATAGTCTCTCTTCTCCTTACTCTTAGATTTCTTCTTAGACTTGTCAGCCTGTGGTTGTGATGATGTTCCCTCATTAGCAGCTTCATTAGCACAGGTGTGTGGAATTGCATTCACATTATGAGTGGGAGGAGGGACAGGAGGCTGCGAATAAGCGCAACTATAGGAGACAGCTCAGCTGCAACAGTTTGTGTTGGAAGTGTTGGACTAGCCACACGATCACTAGATACACCTCCGGGCAAGGCCGACCAAGAGGGTGTGCTGGCCCGCCCTCCGGCACAGGCCCTTAGAATATTAGGGGCCTCTACTTAGATTCGTTAGTTACCGATCGTATATTGTAGGTTGTATTTTTAATGTATGATTGATTGATTATGAGTTTGAGATGTGTTTAATAGATCATTTTAGCTATAATAACAATTGAAAAGGATCTCATGGAGAATACGAAAATCTGAAAAATAATAGATAATTTTAATTTAAACAATATAGAAAGATATTACATTTTGAATAATGTTATTATAATCATTTTAGTTTTATTATAGTTAAAGCTCGATTTGGACCACCTCTAGATTTTGAAATAGGGCCTCCACGATCTAGTAGACTACCCTGCACCTACCTCTCGATCAATTTATATTTTTTTCATTTCTCCATTCAATTTTTGCGTTATATCCATTTTCTCTTCCTTCCAGATTTACTTTCCTCCCTACTAGAGATGGGAATTCGGTCTTGGTTTCTTGGTCAAACTGGAAACGAGATCGTTTATTCCTGATGTAATCTTTTTCTGAACTTAAGTATTTTTTTACAATTATTTATTAATTTTTAATTTTGATAAATTTATGGGGGGAAAAATTAGGGCCACATTTTAAATTTTCGAACAGGGCCTCCAAATATCATGGGACGGCCCTGCCTCCGGGTTTTCTCTTCTTCAATTGGGTCTTTGCCGTAGCACTTTGAGGTAAACAATTCTCCTTCCTTTTGCTCTTATCCTTGAAAACGCACAAATAAATTAACAACAAGCAAAGTCTAGGTAAATAGATAGTTGAGCCGTAGAATAAAGAGAAAAAATGAGAAACATGCATAGACCAAAAGACTGTCGTTCAAGCTCTCTCTCAAACAAAACTCGACCATCACTCTCATAGGCAACGTAAAAAAAGCCAAGAACACACAGTGCCCAGTGGGAAGAATATTTGGATTAGAGTTGAAGGCTTGTAAGCAAGTGCAATTAAAATGGTAACCTCGTGAAGATTAATAAATTATAGTAACATGGATAGTGAAAATCGCTAAAGGTATTGGATAGGGTTAAGACTTTAAAACACCGAACTCGCATGGATAGCAATCGAACTAAAATAGAACCAATAATCTGAATCTCGACTAAAGACTAAAGCAGAATAAATAATCTCGACTAAAGCATAATTGAATGATGAAAACATGCATAGATTGAATATGAACTCAAAATCATCAAGTAAGAGTACTCATACAATCATCCAATCAAACAACCATGGCTAGGGTTCCTCAAAACCTAAGTGAAGGGAAGTTACTCCATAGAGAAGGGAAAGACTGCAATAAGAATCTTCAGATGATCAGTCTTCAAGTCCGGGCTTGTTCCTCGAGTTTCCAAGGCAAAGAAATCTTCCAATTCCACTCCAAGAATGCACTCAAATCGCTCTCTCTCTTTTTGGTTCGTCCCTTGGGTGTTTGGGAACCAAAACCCAGCTCTCCCCCTTCAGAATCCGTAAAAACGCATTTATACAGCTCACAGAAATCAAGTTACGGCCCCAAGTTACGACCGTAACCTTTGGGTTCAGCCCGTGACTTCTAGAATGCATTCTGCATCCTGTGGCCCCGAGTTACGGCCAAAATGGCCAAGTTACGGTCATGGCCGTAACTTTGAAGGTCAGCCCGTAACTCTAGAGAGGTTGTTGTCTTTTGGTTATTTCTCCCTCATCCGAACTCCAAATCAGTCGTTGTTTGATCCATAACGCTCGTAGTCTCGTCCTCTTTCTTTCAATGCATTGATTAAATGATTATTTGTCCATTAAAGGAGGTATAAATCCATTATTCTTTGGGTCATGCCTGAGTTTCTCCCCCCGAGTCGCCAATTGATGTTCGATTGACTAGAAACTTGCGCCTATGCTTCACTTTATGTGCTAGGACCTGAAATGTGACAAAGGAATACAACCTAGCATAAAATAGGCCAAAGAAGCGATAATGCGAGCTTAAATGGTCAAGAAACAAAGGGGGAAACATGTGCAAATATCGAGTCATCAGTTAGCAATAGGTGTAAGAAGTTATAGGGGTTCACTATTATATTGCTTGAGTGGTTGTGTGAGGTTGTGTAGTTACTCCATTTAGCGTGAGTGCTTGTGAGGAAGAGAGAAATGAGTATATTGCTCTAGTCTTGTCAAGGGTTTGAGTTATACCCTAAGGGACTCAACTTAGAGTTAGATAGGAATAAGATATAAACCTACACAATAGGTCTCAAAGGTTTGGTTACCTTTGAGCCGAGGCGTAAAGCAATAGGCTAAACTCGTTGAACAAAACATCATGTGTACGTTTTCTTCTCCTTACTCTCCTCTATATTGTGTTTTCTTCTCAACAAGTGCATCACCTTGTTGGTCTAAGGTTGAAGACGTTGAGATAAAGACCGACACCCATCTCGTAACACTATTGGGCTTTAGCAACGGGTTAGGCCCAATCCAAAGAACTAGACGACCAATCCATAATTGATAATATTTCATTTATCGCATCTATAAGTTTATTTGTGTGCAACACGTGTTCTACAAAGTCAACTTTAATATTGGAGGTCGTGAGGGATTAGACATGCGACCTAACGACCAAACCAACACTTCATGTCATAAACTATTTAATTCCAATAACTCGAGTTGTTTGAAAAGCTACCTGCATGAACCTTAATCGCTTCCTTATACCATAATAAGACTCGCAACTAAAACTCATGTTCATCTTGTGATCAATGACTAGTGATAGCAAATAGGTGGGGCAAGGCAGGTATCTCAATACCCTTAATTACATGCCCCGCACCAAGCGCAAATTATGTCGGGTAATACTTTTTTTTTATAAGCAGGTTGGGTAATACTTGCACGATTACGGATTGCGACAATTCGATCGATTATCATGTGTTATATGAAGAAAATAAATAAATTTTTTCTTTTTCTTACGATAATTATAGGGAAAATGCTTCAAGAATGAAAATAGTAATAGAATTAGTAATAGAGTCTAATGAATTGATAAATAAAATTATTGCACCCATTTAAAGTTTCGTAAGGTGAAAATATAATTGAGAACAAACTAAAATAAATAAATATTGAATAAGACGAGTTGGGAATAAAACATGATAGTGCTTGTATCTCATTCCACGCCATTATAAATAAAGTCGGATACTACTCGGCGGGACGAATTTAAATTGTTATGGGTGAAATTTGGCAACAACCCGGGTTGCAGCCCGTAGCTGCTGCCAGCAATGTAGTCAAAATCCCGATTTTAATCTTAAAATCTTACGATTTTACGATCTTACCTATGAGTTCCGATCCTGATTTTATGGTAAAATCTTTGAACCTTAAAATCCCATAAAATCCCGATTTAAAACTCTAAAATCCTTAAAATCTACGATTTCTATGATTTTGTACGATTTCAAGGTTCATATCAATTGGAGCAAAATTAGGCCGGTCAAGTCAGGTTCTTCCTTTGAACCAAGTCAAGTTTACTTCCCCCGACCCTACATAATCAACACCACAACCCTAACCCGATAGACAACCCTCAATTTATTTTCATTTTCTTCCTTGTATCTTCTTCTTTCACACGTCGACGCCCAACTCCTTCCATCAACGATATCTTCCACCCTACCAATTAGCTTGTAGTTTGTTCCCATTACCCTCACAATAATCCAAATCTCCATTCCATTGCAAGCTTTCGTTCATCTCCCAATCCTTCAGTACCAATAACCCCGACCTTTTAACAATTAAGAAGGGAATGTATCAATCAAAGAGTTATCATTGCCAGATGATGGTGATAAGGGAAATATGGTTAATGGTGAAAGTACTTCAAGTAATCCTAAGAGTAATGTAGTCCTCAAGCAAATAGACAAGGATAAGAGTGTTGGTGAAGGTGAGGATGATGACGATGATGTATAAGTGATGTTAATGTTGATCCTAATGATCTTATGTAATTTTCTACTCTTTACTATTAATTAAGTGATTTCTATTAGGTTTTAGGTTGCTTATTTGTGTGTTTATATTATGTACAAGAATAAATATATACATTTAATTGTGTCTATTTAGCAAACAAACTTATCTTGGGAAGTAATTATGTTTTATGTGATTGATTGTTATTCAAGATATGCATTTTTATTACAATTTGGTGTTTTAAGTGTGTATTTTAATATGAACCTTAAAATCTTACGATTTTACGATTTTAATCTACGATTCCGACTCAGTTTTCGATTTTACTTAAAATCTCGATTTTAACTGCATTGGCTGCCAGGCCACACGGCGATTAGTGATTGGTTCAAAAATAAATTTCCATTACTTTTTAATTATTGTAACGGAAGTCGGATGGAAACAGGGAGTAGGGGACGGAACGGAGAAAAGCCTCCGTTATTATTTTTTTCCCAATAAACGAGGAGTGAGAGATTGAGCATATCTAGCTTGCATTATTATTACTAAATTTTGTATTTTGAACGTTTTTTCGTATATTTGTAACTTGTAATGTTTTACGCCATGTATTACAAATTGGATATCTCTATCTAAATCGTAAATTAAACTAATTTTGGGTATGATATTATACTCTAACCTCTAATGGATAAACCTAATCGTCCGATTCTCTAAACCTAAATCCGAAGTTCAATTTAATAGAAAATAATAATTCATTGTTGTGATTGATCAGAACCCAACAAAGTACATCTAACGGTCAGATCACTTAGAATATACTATACTTCAGGAGTATACCAGTCTTTATCAATATTATATATGTATTGTTTACAATGCAACGATTTAACTATCATCAAAACCAAACGATCCGTTAATATATGTGGTTCTTATGTGAAATCCATGCATGCACTTATGATCTCTAAACAATAAATTATTAAAACTCATTCTCAAAAATTACATCTCAGTAGATTATTCTTTCAAAATTATTTCTGTCATTAGTTATAAGGAATTACGCATGAGAATATTCGTAATTGGTACCATTAATTTTAAATAATTTATTTCTTAGCACTAGGATTAATTCATTTAGAATTATGTTCTTTAAATTTTAATACTATAAAAGTTATCCCTCTTCTTCTGGTAAATAATAAAGAACTAAATCTAAAATTTGATTATGTTATGAAACTAATGGAAAATATAAACAACTACAAGAGAAGATTAGAGAGGGAAATACACAAAGAAGAGAGGGGGGAAGTGAGCTTTCTTATTCATCCTTCTCTTTTGATATAATGGTGTGCCTTACACCTTGGTAACCACTACATCCTTATATCAATGCATATGAATGTGAGATAATGATGTAGAAATAGGGGTTACATGTAACTCCCAAATGAGCATCTAATGTGGTAGGTCATTGGTCATCCATATATCAATATTTACATAATAGATTAAAAATAATTAAGGCAAACATATTATTTTTGTAAACTGCTGCACTTTAGAGTTAATCCAAATTGGGGAAAAAATAATAACGGAGGCTTATCTCCGTTCCGTCCCCTACTCCATGTTTCCATCCGACTTCGGTTACAATAATTAACAAGTAATGGAAATTTATTTTTGAACCAATCACTAATCGCCGTGTGGCCTGGCAGCAGCTACAGACTGCAACCCGGGTTGCTGCCAAATTTCTCCCAATTGTTATTGCCTATGACAAAATAGAGTAAAGCATAAGGGGATAGCTCCCAAGTCCCTCAAATAAACATAAAGCTGAAGAAACAGGGATACAAGAAAACAACATAAAGCCCATACACATAATCTATCCTCTAATCCTCGACTGCTGCAGCTCTGATTGCGGCAATGAGGAGCTTGGAAAACTTGATCAGCTTGCCGGTTTCAGGCAGCACGTCCTTGACAGCCAGATCGGCCGAGAACTTGTCAGCCCATTTCACCAAACCAGGCGTCTTCTCCTCGTCGAGAAGCTTCACTCCTCCCAGCATCACCTGCACGGCTCTCACCCACCCCAACATGCTCCCAAACGCAATGTCCACAAACCCGATCTTGTCCCCGCCGAAGAAATCCTTCCCTCTGCTCACCTCTCCATACGCTCCTTCCATACGTGCTATAACTTCCTTTAGCTGATCCGCAGCCCTGTTCTTCTCCTCCTCACTCGCCGCAGTTACCGCCGCCCTCAAGTTCGGGAAGCACTGCAAAAATTTGATTGATTAAAAAGATAAGGTTCCAACTTCCAGCTATTGGTGGAAAAAAAAGATTGTACCTTTTCGTCGACATAGGCAGCCCAGAAGCGTGCGACGGCGCGATCGTGGGCGTCGGCGGGGAGGATGGAAGGGCCGGAGGGCCAGACCTCATCAATGTACTCGACGATGATGTTGGATTCGCAGATGGGTTTGCCGATGTGTATAAGGACGGGGACTTTCTTGTGGACAGGGTTGGATTTGAAGAGGAGCTCGCTCTTGGAACAGAGTTGCTCCTGCTCCTGGACGAACTCGTACTCAACGGATTTAACGTTGAGGGCGATCCTGGGACGCATCGAGAATGGACTCGGCCAAGTGCCGATTAGTTTCACATCACCATGGTTGTTGTCGGCCATGGCTGCAGCAGAAATTGCTTGCGAGAAGAAAATGAAGAAAATGGTAGAGACTTTTTGAAGACAGGGGAGCTCTCTGTTTCTGTTTGTGAGGTGTATGATCTTGCGCGGGGTTTGATTGTGCGATGAAAACAAGCTTGGAACTTGGAAGTGGCGTGTATATATAATGAGGATCAGGGAGGGATTGAAGGATTAACAATCCGGGAGAGGCCCGGCGATGGCGGGTCGAAATTGACCAACAATAATACAGGTGACGGCGTTCAAAAGCAAATAATTGAACTTGAATTGATGTTGATTGATGATTTGTTTTCTTAATTGGCTGATATCCTCCAATAATATATAATAGGGTTTTATTAACTTTTTTCTATTTTCAAATTTCAGAGTGAAAGTAGGGAAAATGTTTTTGTGTTTACAATTAATTATTTATTTCATTTAAAAAATATCAATATCAAAACTCGAACCGGAGTCTCTTCAAACAAAGATAATAGTCATAACCAATTATACTAAATATATTTTTGTTCCTTTTTTAATACAAAACATACATGTATTTAAACTGTGAAAAGCAGAGGACTTTTCCATCATGATTAACAAGTGCACTAAGTCTACCGTATGTATTTTCATGGTGCTTAATACTTCAATTTTCATAGTAGAGTTTCATGTAATATTATCCATTTTAAAATTCATGCTCTCTCCATAATTTTCGCCAAAGGTAAATTGGTAATTGGCTAACATGAAGAAACTACTTCCTTTACTACGCGTTGTGTCCTTGCATTTTCAATATAAATATAAATTTTGTGTTTTTTATCTTTGTTCTTATCTCTTTCTAATTTTCTTCGAAATTCCTTCCATCGTGCAATAGTTTGCGTGCTTTCACTTCCCAGTATAAGGGCGCATTTGAAAATCAATATTCTGATATCTCTTGGCACTTTCGTTTTATTCTTGGGGATTTAAGCTAGGTAAGTAGAAGATTTCAACTCTCATATCAATCCATGGCAAATAGAATGGAGTTCAATCAAGTAGTTATGGTCTGGCCTTGATTATCTCACTCGATTTCTCTGCATTGCCATCACCCAATGGTTCTGTCTGTCCCCGCTGTACTACTAGAAGAACTATTTTTGTTGCTTCTATTGCTGAAGACAATGTTTGGTCAGTTATATCTTTCGCCTTTACTCCTCTTCCAATACCAGGAATTGACCTTTAATAGGTTTTCGGTCTTCGGCCAAGGTTAATCGCTTTGCACATGTAAGTCATTCATTTCTTCTCTATGTCTCATGGTTTTATCTTTCTGATTAATAACAAAACGGCTTTTATTTTCACGTTGTCTCGTGATCAAAACATGCATAATATCTTTTTGTTTTGATCTTATTGTCTGATACGATGTTTAAAGCTCGATGGATCTCCTGCGTCATTTCTTCTCTTTCTGTTATTAGGTTCAACTTCAATGAGTTTCTATCTTCATATAAGGTTCATTGACTTGAACTGATAGGCTATTATTCCTTCCCGATTTATCTAAGTTTGTTATTTATGAATGATTTATAAAATATAGGAAATGAATTTGAATGATTGTTTGGGTACTATGTTTGTTTGAAAGCAAATGAGACGTTTGTGTAGAATAGGGGCAGTTGTACTTTCCTAGCGGCATGTCTACTTTTTTGTTGTTTGTTTCCTATACTTTATTTTTGTTCTTTGCTTAGCTATTGAAATAATAAAATCAAAATCAAAATTAGAAAAAAAGATTTCTTTTCAATTACAATATTTCCGCTCATGTTAGATTTTGTCATAACTAATGTTCTCCGCAACCATAATTTTCCTCATTAATTTTTATTCTTATGGTCCAACTCACTAATCAATTTTTTATATTACTTTAGAATTAGTTAGAAATTGATCTTTCATGCAACACTCTAGGAGTTTGGGGTGTTGAACTTGGAGTAGAAGAGTTGGGATTGAGTTTGAGAATGGAAGTGGTGGGGGAAGAAAAAAATCAACTGTAGTAGGTTAAGGCAGAGAAGAGGGAGTTGCTGAGGGTAGTGATTGAATTGAGGAGGGTATTGAAAGACGCATAGCAAAACTGAAGTAGTTGAAGAGAGAGAAGTGAGAGATGATGATGATATTAATGAAAATGGAAAGGGTATCGAAGGGCATGGAAGTGTATTGAATTAGGTTAAGGCGGACAAGGGGGGAGATGATCATATTGATGGAATTGGAGATGAGTTTTGGTTTTAGCGAACTTATTACAACTTCCACTGAGGAAGATGAGTTGGCAAAACATAGGAAGAGGATTGAGGAGTTGAAGAGCGAGTTGACAAGAACCCCAATTGGAAGAGAAATTGAGGTTCGCAGAGAGAAGGTCCATAAAAGTAGCAGAAATAAAGTTGCAGAACGAGGATTAGAAAGTGAATGTTTGGTTGAAACATATGCTTCTTGAGATTGAAGATAGAGTAGAAAAAAAAATTTGGTCGTTCAATGGAGAGTGGTGGCTATTGGATCTTTAGGTTTATGGTTTTTGTAGCTACCACAACATATTTTCGATCTTAAATCGAGGAATCATATACTGATATAATGAAGTAGGTTGATTCTTTATTCAACCTACTTGAGCTGATAGATAAAGAGTGTCTAATTTTGCGTCTTATTACTTTGATCGAGTCTATTAATATATTGGTGGTAATCCAATTTTGTCATTTGCTCTCAAGTTTTGATGGTCCCCTCTTAGCTGAGTTGTTAGTATATAGTTGACTTGAACCTACAACTCTCAATTTCTTTTTAATTAGTGGCATATTGCCCCAAAATGAGAGCATTGAACCATTTATGTAGGATTGTGAGGTTTTAGATTCAGTTTCAAACTATCTACAGGTAGTGTGGGAATTCCAGTGAGCTTTTATACTCTACCTTTCTTAACAATCAACTAACTAATAACATTTTAACCGGACTTAATTATCATTATGAAAATGGGATCAATGATACATTTTTATATTTTATATTCTCACATGATTATGATATTTCTCTGAATGTTCGACCTATATATTCTTTCTTTATGTATCATCTCGATCGAAAGATTGTCAATAAAACTTTAAAGGTTGATAGACTTTAACGTAACATTAAAATATAAAAAATCAAATATAAATATTCCGGCCAACGGGCCGGGTTATAAGCTAGTTATATATATATGTTTGTTTTTTTAAGATTAGGTATTAATGTATTAAAGTTTGGAAGTTTCAAATTCAAGATAGATAATAATACCAATGGAACAAGCCATGTTCATGATTCCTCACATGAAAAAACAAATTTTGAAATGGAATTTAAATGGAATTGTCGGATTATTCCCAATCATAGTAAATTAGCATGGATTTCACCTGTTGCGAAAATTAATATGGTAGGAAAGTATTCAAATTTAAACTACATCAAAATAAATTTTGAAATCAAACAATCAATAAATTAAATATTTGTCTAATGATGCATATTTAAATTTTTGGTCAACGCTATAGAAAGATGCACTTCAAATAATTATTGTATATATTTTTTATAAATTTTATATTTTAACTAAATTAATTAGTTTTTAACGATGTTCTGTAAGAATAAAATATACGCTATCAATAAACTTGATGGGTCCGCCAGTGACTCTTGATTGATGTTGTTTATGATATATCTGACTCTCTGAATTAGTTTTTTTTTATATAATACTATTGCATTTCTCTAAATTAGTTTTTTTTAATAAAATACTATTGGTCTATTGGATTAGTTTTTTATTATTATTAGTAATCTCAGTCCCACATGTCACTTTGTAACAGCGGGGCCTACTAAATATGGAGGTCACCTGCAATCAATTTCGATACAAACGGGGCTTCGCCCACTGCAACCTCATATATCCGGGAACACCAATGAGCCTCACTTAGATTCAAACTCGGGATCTGCAACTCTCAAACTTTCACTTTCGCGACAATTTTACCGTTAGTATATCTGGTACTATTGCATTAGTTTATTGTGGCATGTTTTTCCTTTTCATCTTATTGGTCAATGAACATTTTCAGGTGCTCCCCAGATTTAATAGATCACGCTGTCACAAAGTGGCATGTGGGGTTGAAGTTCCTGGGTTATAAAAAAATATATTTTCTTGGTATTCAACGTTCTCTTGCATTGTAGTACTATGCCTATATTTGGTCAGTTACAAGTAATTTTCTTGTGAAAAGCAAGAAATTCATTTCATCGCGGTCTCTAATAGAAGAGCATCAACTTCCATTCTGTACACATACCGTGCATAAGAAACAAAATCACAAGTTTTGTTTAATACTCTCAACTAAAAAACAACATGCATCAAACCACAATTTCCTCGCATTCACGAAAAAAATCCAAAAGTACCACTGTTTAAAAAAACAATTCCAAAAATACCACCCAACCCCAAAAAATTCCAAAAATACCACCCTTTTTCAAAAACCGGCACCCCACCCTACGGTTTACACGAAAACCGTTTGTCGGGGGCGCGGGTTTCTATGCAAACCGCCGGATTAGGGGGCGGTTATAAAAAAAAAATTGGACCAAACCGCTGGGTGGGGTGGCGGTTTGACCCAAAACCGCCACCCCACCCAGCGGTTTGGTCCAATTTTTTTTTTTTCCGATCAACTCCTAACTTCGGCCGAAACTTCAAACGAACGTAACTTTGCACTCGGGTATCCGATCGTAGCGATTTTTTTTTCATTTCGCATAACTTTTCAAGATCTACAACTTTTACTAGGATAAAATTTTCAAAACAGGAACTATTTGTGGATATACGGGACCTTGAGAATAACTTTATCTTTACTTTTCACAAATCTATGTACATTTTGAAATTATGATTATATTAAAATTTTTAGATTTTGAAAAGTTATGTGGAATCCAAAAAAATTCATAACATTCGGATTTTGGAGCACAAAGTTATGGCCGCCCAAAGTTTGACGAAATGCGAGACCCGGGGGTATGCAGCTTGCAAGATCTCAAAAAGTTTGCGGCCTCCATTTTTTGAATCCAATAAATTTTTGAGATCTTCCAAGCCACAAACCGCTGGGTCCCGCCTTCGTCTCGAAAAACGTCATTTGCCACCCCGAACGAGCCTTTTTTTTATTTCGTCAAACTTTGGGCGGCCATAACTTTGTGCTCCAAAATCC